CACCATCACCATCACCATCACCATCGCAATCCCAATCGCAATCACAATCACAATCACAGTCACAGTCACAATCACAATCGCAATCACGGCGAGAAAGACATAGCGGTAAATAAATAGTAAACAGTAATGCAGCGGATCAAGGGATGGTGGGCGGAATGAGGAGGAGGAGCGCTCACCCCCTTCCTTCTGGCATGCCATTCCCGTACTCGTCGACCCGGACCTCGCGGCACCTCCTTCCTTCCTTCCTTCCTTCCTTCTTTCTTCTTACTTTCCCAACACGCTAGCAGAAGGGGTTTTCTTTTTTTTCGTCGTGCTTAGTAGTACATCTTACCTCACTCAGGGGGAAGCAAGAACTGGAATACAATTCTGTCCCCCGCCTCCTGAAACGCATCTCATCTCGTCGTGCTTGCGAAACGCGTTGACGGTCTTGACGTAGCCTGGGATGTATTCTTTTGTCTCGGGCGTATTCTCTCAGGAAGCACGCACACATGCACGCACGTACGCACGCGCGATGGTGGAGGTATCTGTATAAGGTAGGTTACTCGGGTAATTCTTTCGATGATACTGTAACCAATGCAAGACCGTGCAAGTGAGACTCGGCGACACGCATTGACACAAACGACCATGGTCGCGGATGAGAAGGGGCCACAAAGGATAACAGACGCGTGAGATTTGTGGTAGATAGAAATTTGTCATTATGATTATTACTGTCTTTCGTTTGGTGTGAATTGGCAGGCTAAGGTACAGTATACGACCCCGTCAAGAGGGCGGAACTATGCTCCTTTCTGTCATGCATGCCATGCAATCAAAGCACACAATCATGCCATCGCTCACTCAAATCAATCAATCGTCGCTTCAATAAAAGTCATGCTTCGTGTGGGTATCCGCCTTCATTGTAAACAAGGACAACACGCAGCTTCGTCAAACGCCTGGTACACTTTCTCAACCTGCATATGCAAGCACAACGTCCTCCACCCGCTGCAGCAGTGGAGGAGTGTGATGTCGAGTCAGAGCTATTTCATAGCTTAGACGAACAGCATAGCGGCGGCAGCGATGGCGAGTCCACCGAGGGCAGCAGGAAGCTGCTTGCTACCGGCATTGGTGGGAGCTGGGGTCGTCGAGGCAGCGGCAGGAGCTGAGCTTGTGCGGCTAGCAGAAGCGGCGCTGGTGCTCGCCGGGTTGACGGTGTTGCTTGATGGGGCCGAGCTAGCAGGAGCCGAAGAACCCGCAGCTGGGCTGGTCGTGGTGCTTGTCAGGGTAGTGACGCCCGAGGCTGATGCAGAAGAAGCAGGAGCTGAAGCCGGGGCGGAGGCCGAACCGCTGGTGTAGCCAATTGGAACAGGGACGACTGTGGTACCAGAGCTGCTGTAAGAGGTGGAGACAGGAGCGGCCTCGCTGGACGAAGGAGCAGTCGTGGTGACGGTCGTAGAGGTGACAGCTGAGATGGGGCTGGAAGCGGGGACGGAGGTGGTGACCGTGGTCGAGGTGACACCAGCAACTGGAACAGAAGAGCTAGTCGCTGGACCAACTGGGACTGGGGCGACGTTGGTGGTGCCTGATGAAGATTGTGAGCTACTCTCGCTCACAAGTACGGTTGTCGTTGTGATGTAGTCAGGGGAGATGAGCGAAGAAGGGGAGGATGTGACCACCGCCGTCAAAACGCTCATACTAGAGGTCTCAGCAGCAGCAGCTGATGAGCTCGCGTCCAACGCCGAATCCAAAATGCTCAAAGCATTCGTCGACGTAGGCGGCCAGGCAGTTTCAATCGCAACAGAAGTGCAAGGAGTGATCGCGCACCATAGAATGGTCAAGGCATTCGTCGTCGGAGAGGCAGACGAAACCGACGTAGTGAATGTGCTCATGATGCTTGTGCTTATGCTAGGAGGGTTTGACAGGGCAGCAATAGCTTCTGATGAGCACTTACTTGACGGGCCGCATTGGTATGCGGTGCTTATGGAGGTGACGGTCACTGCACTTCCTGTCAATATTGATTGTGTGGCGGTTTGGTTTGTATCTGTCACGAGCTCTGTCGGACGCGTTGTTAGCAGGTTCCTCGAGTGAGGGAGAAAACGAGAGAGATTAAGGGTGTCGCATTGAGGTCGATCTCAGTGATGTCGTGATCGTGTATACATACCACCAGTAGTCACATCCGCCAAAGCGACGGCGAAGAAGGCGACGGCGCCAAGGGTGATGAATGAACGCATCTTGAGTCTTGTGTGTGTTTGTTGAAAGATTGTTGAACTGTCGATATCGTTTATGTAGCGAAAGTCTTGATGCACACAAGGATCAATACGATTGTGGTGGATGCTCGTGGATGATATTGATTGTTTTGTGTTGATACGAGCGAAGGAGTTGAATGATGTATGCAGAGAAGTGGTGGAAGAAAGATTTTGTAGTGCTTCGTGGGAGGTTGGTTACACGTACCAGCCGCTTGGGCCACTAAAGTTCAGAAGCTGGCAAACAAGGAAGGCGCGCCTGGGCACCACTGTATTCACAAGAGCACACGCTTCGCCTCACCGATCACGTTTTCCGAACAGGTGATGCTGATGATCTCATGTGCGTGCCTGCGTCCGATAACGAACATGTTCGATTGCAAAACGCAGCCGATATCGACATGGGCCATATCAGGGAAACTCAAGCAAGAAGCACGGCAGAGGCGCATGTCGTGCAAGGTACACCAACGGCAGCTTCGGCCTTGCAGCACCAGCACCAACTTCACACCCGCGCGGCTGGCGGCATCCAACTTAATCGCTCGCACCACCGCCTCATCTCCAGCATAGCATTAGAAATAACATAAACAACCTTAAGCCGACCTCTCTACAAACCATCTCAAACTAAACGATGTTTCTGCTGTTCTCGAACAAAAAAAGCTTCAACCGTTTGACAGCGGGAGAATCTCAGTGGCTGGGGTGACGTTGCTGGCGCAGCGGGAAGCTTTCTCACTAGCGCGTCTCGCCACGCTAAACGTCCTTCCCGCCTTGTTTCAGAGTGTTGCTGCATGTGTGCGTGCAAACAGGGAAACTGCGATGCGGCGTTTACTACTGACTATTGTATGCAAGGTACGGGCGACCAAGATCAAGCATTCACTGACAGGCGGCGCAGCAAGTTTTAGGTTCACAATAACCAATCGATAGCCTCGTGGCAGGCTCTGACGTGGATTTCGCTTACAGCCAGATCTGCTCGCAGATAGCACTGACGCCCGTTCACCGACGGAGAATAATATTGATATGGTGACGTCGATGCACGCACGGATGAGATAGATAGTATGAATGGAGCCGAATGCATGCCGAATGCAGCTGAGCAAAGACCGGAGAACCGGACCCCATTAGTGCGACGAATGTTGAGCGGAAAGCGACATGGAAGAGTCGATCTCATGTGCTTCCGTGCCGCATGTGCAACGACCTACTTCTCCGGCGATATGATGTCCGTCCAGTCCAATGCCTCTATGGCATAGTATTTCATTCGCCGCATACGTGTGACAGTTGCACGAGTGGCGGTTTTGGTACCTTGCCGCACGAGCAACAGCAGCAAAACAGACTGAATCCTGCAGTTGCCGGAATGATTCGGCGCGCGTGGATCTAGCATCGCTTTCGTGAGACTATAACAGTGTAGGTAGATATCATCTGTACCAGTTGATGACGATGCTTGTAACCAGATATTGATCTCCTCCCGTACAGTACCTCATAATCATCTATCGTCATCTACTTGCTCGTCGCTTTCCCAATGTTGATCAGACGCTTCACGCCAACCTATAAATCACATTAGCATGAGTCTCCAGAACACAGATCCCAAGCAGGAAGTGTAAGGAGAGTACTCACCACCCACACCCCGCCCTCTCCCTCACCTAACCCCTGCTGCAAACTCGCAAGCAATCCACCCGCTTCCTCCCACTCCCCACTGCCCGCCTTCTCACAGATGCCCACCATCTTTTCCACCGTCCCCTGAGTCAGTAGATCCTCATTATTCAGATGGTCGAACAGGATATTGATCCGTTTATCCATATCATCCACCTGCGGTTTGAAAGCCTGTGGAGCAACGGATTTGATACGAGCGACTTCCGGGGTGAGGATGTCGTAGATGGGTCGTGCCGACGCGGAGATGTGGGTGCGGTCGCCTTTGGGGTGTTTTGGTTTGGGTGTCTGGAACGGTGTTGGTTGAGCGGGTGGTGCATGCTCGACTGGGTTTGAGTTGAGACCAGTTGATGCTTGAGGGGAGGGCTGGGCTGGAGGGCCTGAGGGTGTGGCATTGCGTTGTGGTGGGCCACCCCTTGGAGGAGGTGCAGACGGCGGCGGCGCTTGTCTCTGTTGCGGAGCTTGGGCTTGTGGCGGCTGTCCATATGGTGTCTGAGATTGCGACTGCGGCGCGTATGGGCTAGGGGCTTGCTGGGCAGCATATGGGTTGGGCGCTACTTGACGCTGTTGTGGCATGCCACCTGGTCCAGGCGAAGGCTGAGAGCCTGGAGCCGGGGCATAGCGGTTGGAAGGAGCGGCACTCGATGTTGAAGGAGGAGGCTGATATGGAGAAGCACCTCGAGTCGTGGGTGGCACAGACGGAGCTGGCAGTGTAGATCCTGCAGGTGGGTAACTGGACTGCTGAGGTGCGTATGTGCTAGCAACAGACGATGGTGCTCTTCCCAAGGGTGGAGGTGCAGTGGGCGGTGACATCACTCGTGGCGGCGCCTCGCCGGCCTTGGGTGGAGGAGGCAGGGAAGGCTGTCTTTGACCCACCGATGGAGGTCCAGCAAATGGCGGTGGCGATAGTACAGGAGCCGGCGCATTTGGGAAAGGCGATGCAACAGTTTGTGGTGCCGGTGTGCCTCTCCTCGAGTTAGGCTGTCGATCCTTGAAGAAGTTGGCGGGCATATCGTTCCAATCTCCAGACTTTGCTTGCGAGGGCGGAGGTACGGAAGGAGATGCTGTGCTCATGCGCGGCGGAGGTGGTAGTGAAGCTTGCTGGGGTGGTGGTTGGTAGCCTCCGTATGCTGGTTGAGGCTGCCCGTACTGTGCTTGTTGCTGAGGAGGCTGATATCCAGCAGGAGTGTAAGTGTTCCCTGCTGGCGCGTAGCCACTTTGTACTGCTGGTGCTGGTGCTCCTACTCCCGCAGGAGCGTACGGAGAAGGCGCGGCATTACGAGCTTGATTCACCAAAGGCTGTCCTGGTGCAAATGCCGCTGGGCGTGCCGGGTGAACAACAGACGGCGCTTTTACAGCTGCACTTGCTGGAGCTTGTCGCTGTGCCGAAGCAGTCGCGGTCTTCTTCGTGGCCTGCCGTACTCGCTGCTGCGACGCATCTGCTCCACCAAACTTGGCTGGCAGCATTGTGAGATACTGTTCAGCGCTCGCGAGCTGTCCATGAGCGGCTAGAATGTCAGCATACTCAGCATACAGCTGGTACAGCGGCGCAAGCTTCCACTCTTCAGTAGCTTGCAATTCCGCGTCCTTGAAGTTTGTCACTTTTCGGAACACAGACACCTTCTCGATAAAGCCTTGCAGGCACTTGGCATGTACGGTGAAAGTATTGTCGCCTTCCGAAGCCTCCAGAGCAGACTTTTCCTGCTCCTGCAGCTCCTGCACCCAGTTGTTGACGACCTTCTCCAGCTTAGTTCCCGCCAAATAGCAGAAAGAAGCATCCCTGCGCAAGGCCTTCGAGTCGCCACCTTCTTGGAAAGCCTCCTCGAGCCGGTCACCCAATGCCTCACACAAATCGGCAAACTCGGTCTCATCAGCGTACGTACACAGGGTAGCCATGACTTCCTTCCAGTCCGCTAACTCAGCGTTGTGCACGACATCCCACAAATTCTTGCCGACAATGCTAGCAAGCAAGCGCAGATAATTCGGGCCCTTGGCTTTCTTCTTTAGATATGCATTCTGTGCCTTGTCAATGCACTTCTGACCTCCGCACACTGCGATCATAAAAGCGTCGGCTATTCGATCCTCCTTTAAGCAGATTCCCAAAGCCTTCTCGAATTGACCAAGCATTAGTGCTCGTGTAATGCTCTTGTCCGCCTCTGGCTCGGAGCTTGTGCAAATGCTGAAAGGGTTGTTCGTCTTAGCACCCTTTGTGGATGCCAGATTGGCAAGGAAGCTATCGTCATCGCCAGCGTTACCGAAGAAGTCGTCCTTATCGCCGTTTGTCTCTGCCTTGCCCGCATCACCATTAATGCCAAGCTTCTCGGTTTGAGCCGCAAGGTCATCAACATCATCTGGGAAGCCCATGTACTCTCGCAGCTTTTTCCGTGACTTCCCCGCGTTGAGCGTCTCGATGACTTGCCAGTCTGCCTTGTCCTCGTCTGTCTTGGCGTCTTGGATCTTAGTCTCGCACATGCTTGCCAGGTCGCCCCTCTTCAGCTTCTCCTCGAATTGTGTAGCGGACTCACCAATCGCTGTCTCTACTGCGAATGTTCCCACGCTGACTTTGCTTCTCTTGGAAGCGTCTGTGCTGACCCGCACAAGCTTGCCACCGAAACCAAAAGACACATTTGAGGGTCGAGCAAGCCATTTGGGCGCTTTCGAGATCGTGAAAGAAATGCCCTGCGGTTGTGCCTGTGCTTTCGCAAAGAAATCCTCTCCATCGAGTGCTTGTGCCGTCGTCTGTTCTTCTGCCTTGGAGTTCGTCGCTTGTGTGGAAGTGATCAGGATCTTGCCATCGAATGAAGCACTTGCGATGAGGCTTGGGTTGTGTGGATTCCACTTCGTCTGGAAAGCCCAATTCGAGCCTGCTGCAAAGCCACCATATTTCTCGCCCGTCCGTGGATTCCAACAAATAGTTTGATTATCCTTGCCACAGGACAAGAGCAAATCAGGATCTTGCTGGCACCACGATAACCCGAGTACTCCGAGCTCGTGACCCTTCAGTGTCCGCTCGGGTGCGCTGCTGTTTCTCAGGCTCCACAGCAAGATCAACGGCTCTTGATCGTTGGGTGTAGCCGTCGCCAACTTCGTGCTCTCCTCCGGATCCCAAGCCACAGCACTCACCGCCTTTCTACTCTGGTTGTTCAGGGTCAAGACATCACGCTTCTGCTTCACATCCCACACCGTCACGAAGCCTCCAGTACTGCCGGTGGCCAGAATATGCTGTGTCTTCTCTTGCTTGTTCCAGTCTAAGCATTCGATGTCGTCGGCACGCGCAGCCGAAGCTCCTAGCCGGAAGCTCGAGGGACTGCTGACGTTGCTCATGTCATACAAGTAGATCTCGCCCTTGGCGCCGACAGATGCGAGCATGCTGTGTCGGAAGGGGTTCCATTGTAGCGCCCTTACTGCCCCGCTGTGTTTCGTTGTCCGAGAGATATGTGCGTCTTGACTGCCCTGTCGCAACTTCTCTGCGTCCCACAGGTCCACCGAGCCATTGTCAAGTGCGCCTGCTATTATACCAAAGGGATGATCATCGCTTGGCTGGCTCCAGGAGATATCGTTGAAGCCCGAGTCCGTGGTGATACTGCCAACTGGCTTCAATTCGACATCTGGTGTCGCTTTATCCAAACCAAGATCCCAAAGCTCTACTTTCGTCTCGCTTGAGAAGTCATCGCTCACGGCACCAGTGCGTGTGCCAGTCACGAGTAAAGGTGCAGCGGCCCCTGGCGACCAGGCAAAGACCGCTGTCCTCTGCAGTTCACGCAAACCCACCATGTTGTTCTGGGAGGGTATCACAATGGAGAAGTATTATCGGAAGCACATGTGGGAGAGTATCGTTCTCGGATTGGTGTCTTGGGTGGCAAAGGAGGTGAAGGCGAAGTAGAATTAAAGAATATGCTTAAGGCCAAACGTGTTTCCAATAATGTTGACACAGCTGGACTTTCCCAAAGCGTTTCGAGAGGGTCCTCCCCACATCGCCTTGGCAGAAAAGTGGCATGAAGTTGGATCGCATTATTTCATACCAACACGTGATGAACGGCAACATATGCGATATCATCTTCAAGAGGCGAGATCATGTCTGATCAGTCCCGACAAAAGGCAACAGTGTATGTGGGTGGCCTCGACAACCAGGTCAATCAACAAACACTTCACGATGCTTTCATTCCATTTGGCGAAATTGTCGACGTATCGCTGCCAAAGCCAGAATTGTATGATTCAGAAATGATAGAGATAACATGTACTTGTTCTTACGCACCTTGCAGAGCGTCGTCAACAGACTTCCATAGGGGCTTCGGCTACGTAGAATTCTCCCTACCAGAAGATGCTCGCGAGGCAATCGACAACATGGACCAAGCCGAGCTTTACGGCCGCGTGATCAAAGTCAACCAGGCGAAACCACAAAAGGATCCTAACGAGACGCTGGGTAGTCGGACGGCTGTTTGGGAGCAGGTGAGCACATGTCTCCTTCTGCTTCATGAGCTTTCCAAAGCCTTGTCACGGTCTTTGTAGGAGAGCATTGCTGACTTTTATGCACAGGAGGGCTATGCTAGCAAGTACAATGTCGCTGAGGAGGGCGACGCAGTCGATGAGCAGAGGGGTGAGGACCCGATGCAAGGACTGGAAGGTCTGGCAGAAGCTGGACCGCGCCAGCAATGAGCCTGCTTCTTCTTTTCTTGTTTTAAGCACATTCGATTCCGTTCAAGCGAAGGCGCAGGTTGCTCCCTTGGCCGATAGCTGCGCTCTTCCAACACAATGGTAGAGTACTTGTGTACACTCCAGGCGTATTGCAAGCATTAGGCATATCATCTGGCATTGCATTCATTATGTACATCATTTGTCAGACACGGGAGCAATGACAAACAGAAGTCCCCCCGAACATGTTCACTCAGATGACGATATACTCTCCATCGACCCTATCCATCGCCTTCCTCCACCTGAAAGCCTGCCCATGCCTCACCCTGCCACCAACACCGCTACCCCTTCTATCCCACATCCACCCACCTCCAGCCTCAGAATCTCTCCTCCTGGCCTTGACCTCTTCGCCCTCACTGCCCGTCCCAGCAACGTTACTGCCGACCTCGCTCCATACCCTCTCCAAGACTTCGAGACCGCTCAAATTGTTGAAGAAACCACTTTCCCGTTGGATCTCAATGCATCGTGAACGGACGATGTTCCTGTGCACCTCATCCACGCACTCCGTGCCCGTGATGAAGAGAGGCCAGAGCAAAAACTTGTTGACGCATGACGTTACGCTCAAGGCCGAGATGTGAGCCAAGGCTTGCGAGACTAATTGCTGGAATTGCGGGTTCGAAGACGGTAAGACTGGGTTTCCAAGGCGTTCAGTATACAGCAGCGCGGAGAAGCGGAAGGATTCATTGATGTGGACGAGATCTCGGGAACTGGCTTCCAGCTGGGCAGGGTCGGTGGGAGCATTTGGAGATGAGGTGGGTGTGGCATTCGAATCCATCTGCCAGGCTTGCAAACGGCACCGAACCTCTTTCCACTCCTTCCAGAATTCCTTGCGGTCGTCTTGCATAGTGTCTTCGTCCATCGAGCCATCAGCGTCTTCGTCGCTCGATAAGATCGGTGTGCCCCAGCCATTGCCATCCATATTCTCGTAGTCAGAAGGCGATAGTGACCGGCCAGCCAGGAACTTAGCAGTGGGTTTCGTCCTCCGCCCAAACCGTGAGGTCGGTCGTGGTATAGCGGAAGCTCGAGGCGTGCGTTGCGAAGCGCTACCTCGCCTCACAGGTCTGCCCTGAGCCAGCAAGTTCAATCTGCCAAGACAAGCGATGATCTTGAATAACCTCCCATCACAACCCGAAAACTGTTCGAGCGCACCGAGGTTGGCCGAGAAGTCGAGCATGTCTAGAGAGTCGCCTTTGATCTGCATCTCGCGGTCATTGACGGTGCTAGTCATGACGTCAAACCAGGTGAAGAACATCTCTACCCAGCCTGTGAACTCCGATGGCACGTTCGGATTGCGTAGGGAGAGGAGCTTCTGGACACCCGCTAGCTGGGTCTTGAATTTGCTGAAGCCCGAGTCGCAGACATGGAATAGGCACAAAATCAACAGAGTGGCAAGAACAGAGTCGTCCTGCGCGGCACGAATGTCTGTGAGCTGCATGTTGAGTTGGTCGATGGATATCTGCTTGTACATTGTCTCTTCGGCCGAAGCTTCGTTCGCACTGGATAGATCTGTGCCATCAAAGGCATCTGTCAGCTCCTCGACAAAGCCGATCTGCTGTGGTTGCTTTTTGCGCATGCGAAGGTTATTGGTCGACAGAGCCGCGATAGCGTTCTGTAGTCCCTCGTTGTGTACGGCCAGTTGCAAAACGTGCCTCCTATACGGATTCTGCGTACCGTCGAAAGCGACGAGGAAAGGACAGATGTAGCGGTCGTAGTACTCCATCAGAGACTGCAACCGCGGTGTAAGGTGGAAGAATGGATTGGAGAAGCGAGAGTCGAACAGTGCAAGACTGTGTTCGGCCTCATCATCGACATTGTCCTGGCCTTGCAAAGCGAAGACGTCCAGTTGATCGTTGCTGAACAGCACATCATTCATCGGATTGAGCTGTGCTTCTAACGGACTGATGGTTGTGGCATCGGTGAACTGTGGCAGCTGCATAGCACCTGCTATGTCTGGGAAGGAGTCTTGTAGTGTCGTCTGCATGGCGTAGCTATCCATCGAACTCGAAGTTATAGGTTGTTCGATGAAAGGATTAGATGTGGGCTCGCCGAAGTGCATAGACCCAGGCGTCTGTGGATACTCCATAGGCGAGTGGTACTCGGTTTCGGCGTAAGAGCCTATTGACATAGCAGAGCCAGGCATGCCTGCATGGCTATACTGTGACCCGAAGCCCGTTTGCAGTTGGTGCAGCGGCGGCAGGTTCAGTGAGCTGTTGCCGGTGTCGTCGTACTGACGAGTTTGCATATGCTCATGAAAGCCTGGTATTTGCCATCCAGTCCTCTGCTGTGGCACTGGCATTGGCGATGTGGGCGTATCGACAGGTTGCGTATGCTCTGGCACCATTGGCATTGACATCGCGGTCGATCCCTCTGCTAAGCCATTGCCGGTCACCTCTTCCTTCTTCACGAACGAAAGTGAGCTCTTTCGCCGTCGACCTCCATTGTCCTCAGCTACCGACACATTACTGCCATCTGGATTCTTGTTCGCAATGGGACACGACAATCCTCTTAGCTTGCCTCTGCTGGCCACACCGACACCCCACGTCAATGTTGTCTTGTAGCCCGAACACTCCTTCCCAATGTCGATGCATTGCGTACAGTATGGCCTCTTGCGATCGCACTTGACGGCTCGTTTCTCGCATGTAAAGCAATCGTCTCGTGCCCCTCCGCCGGCTGTTCTCCGTCGTCTCTTTCTCGGCGGTGGCGCCTCTGCGTTGGCGTTCTGAGCAGCCAAGCCTGGCGCCACACGTGCAGGCGAAACGGCGACGGACATTCTCGGGGCCAGCCTGATATACTAGTCAAAACATAAGTTGAACAACAAATACGCAATGCTTGAAATTGGAAGGTGTGAGTTAATAGCACACCCACGGCCTCGATCGTCGACGGCCGACGACCTTCTCCGCGAACCCTTTCCAGACTAAATATTACGCTACGTAAAAGGTAGAAGGCAGTTTATCCATGGCCCTATCGTCTAGCATCAAGCGTGGTCCATTCACAAACCATCTGTGCATGATGAAAAGCGGGCACTGGTCCCTCCATGGGGACCCAACCCTGTCGAGCATATTGACCGCCGTAGCGTGTCTCGTGGGATGCACGCGCATTTCTCCATCTAGCTTTTAACAAGGTAGAGCAGGTGAAATCGATATTGATGACTTAAACATCCCACCCCTTCGACTGCAGCTCCAAGCATTTGTGCAGCTCGCGAGGCACCGCAATAAACGCCACCCACCTCCTCTATCGGCGTCTTACCAGGAACGTAAATTGGCGCAAAGCGGAGCAGTCTCCATATCCAGTGGGCGGCTTCTTGAAGTTGCATCGGCTTGTTACAACCGCACGAACCGAGATGCAGCAGGCATATGCCGCTTGTGTCGCCATCTGGAAGCCACCAATGATGTTGGCCGCCGTTGACAAAGTCTTATCTGACGATCATGACCACCTCGGCTTGCAGAACAACGACTCGATTAAACTCTGCACGGACAATCCAGACACTTCATCCGGTTCATGGCTGGCCTGTAGCAGCACGGGATCCGTCCATTGAAGATTTATGGTAGCTTCTGAGTTGACCGCTCGTTCTTCCATGCAGGTACTGGTAGAGCGCAAGTACCAGTGGTGATGTCCGAGCACGTCAGAAGCCTAATGTCGGATCCTGGAGCATGTCTCGTGACCAGCGGAAGGAGCATGTACCGCTATCAGGTGCATAGCGGAAAGCATCATCATAACTCGCCTGCATCTGAACTCTAGACGGCGATCACTCGCTGAAGTGGTATGCCATCCCGCTCGGCAGCCTATCTCCCCCACAACTACTCTGCCACCACCAAGCGAGCACGCAAGGGCGGGGGCTCTAGCTCGTGAACGAAGAATGGACAAAATTCGCCGGCTACCTGCGGCCCATTGTGTGGGTGCTGAAGTCCCTACAGCACAACCCATACAGTATTCGTATCTGCTACGAGCAGGAAGCTTGACACTGGACTGCAGACACTGACATACGGCACGGCACGGCACGGCACTTCCTTTAATGCCCAGTGAACATATGTGTGGGTAAGCACCGATAAGTGGTCTTGCCACAGGGGTGTTCAGACCAAGATATACGTCGCTCGGATGGCTCTCCTCGAGCAGGAAGCTCGGCACTCGTAACACTTGAAGGCACTCAGAGAGTAAGCTATGAAGCAAACGAGTCAATTACAGCTGACTATTTCGGAGTCAATGCTCTTGTCAGACCAAATATCAGAGGCCAGCATGGTCGCCAATGAATCTTTTCGCTTGTGAAACCAGAGAAGAATGTCATATGCTGCAGATGGCAAGCAACTGCGAAGCAGACGACGCTGAACTGCCATTATGGCTGACATACATCCCCTCTGTGCTTGATATTCAGAGTACTACTGATCCAAAGCCAAGTCTGCGATTTCTTGCAGATGAAAGGTGAGGACACGGCGACATCAACCTCCACGCCAAAGTAACCATGCAAGGTGCTCATTCTTTCTAGGCGGCAACAGCATTCGCAGACAACAGGCTATTGGCTGGATACCGTAGCAGGATGTTCGCTGTACGTGCCACTACGACATCTCCGATGCAACACAATCTGCCAAGTCGATCGCGAGCGACTAAAAGCGAGGGACACGGGATTGCAGACATGAACCACGAGCCGCGATCTGCCGCAGGTACGGGTTGCATATCCAACCTTCGTGTATAACGCAGTTCATGTGGAGCCATCAAGCACCAGCGCTGGCGGCCCTCGAAGGCGAGCAGTCTTATGTCCAACAGGCTCACATAACTCATGATATCATACGCACACCTGGATCCAGCAAATGATCCTCGGATGGACTGCTTCGCCCCGATCCAGTCGTGTCCTGCGCATTTGTGGGAACCTACCAACCCGTTTCGAGTTACTGGATCGTTGAAAGGGAAGCTTGAAAGTCGATCATTCCACGACCTTTCCCTCTTCGAGCCCAGGGTGATATTGCGTGACTATCGGCTCGTAGTCGCCGTAGTTTGAACGCTCCCGCAAATCCGGCTCTGCTAAGACAGCTATCATTGTATTATGAACCAAGCCATACTGGCGGCAAAGCTGGATAGACAGAGAGTCACTACGTGCGGGCCGCTGAGCATATGCGAACAGCTCTCTTCGCATATGGCACCTGGCAAGACGCTGAGCGACCCTTCTTGATGCGATATGCTGTCGGCGATCAAATGTGCCTGCAAGTCGTACTCATTTTCATCGTTCGCAATGAGTACGTACTAGAACCTCTACCTTCTTCTCGTTAGATCACTCCTGCGGGCAGTACAGCTTATTACACTCTGTACCTACTGGATCGATCTAAACAAGCATGACCGCAACCTAGCGGCAGGAGCTTGACGCCCGGGACAGGTGCCGCGCAACCACCAGACTGGTTCGAGAGCATTTCCAGCAGATCAGAGAAGTGCTTTTGGAACTGGGCATAGGATTGCTTTCACTACACCGGCCCGGGGCGTATTGGTGCCCTAACCGCTTAGGCCTTTGGTTTGTACATACACTGTCTGCTTAGCATATCGAGATATTATTTGCCGACTCAATTCAGATATGCATTCGATGGAGACCGCATTTGCTCGGTGAACGGCATGACCACACGACCACTAGCAGAGGGAATGCTCAAAGATGTCCACACTAGAAGCATCCTACAGTCTTACTTGTCGCTGTCTGTGGCGGCGGGCACGGCTCAAAGCCTACAAGACAATGTTGCCATGTCAGTCGAAGAGCTTCAGGTATGTCGTGCAGAAGAAGTCAGGTCAGCCAAATCATTATCTTTCCGTCATGCCACAGGAGACATCCAAGAAGGGACCATCTAAGTCTTAGGGCTATCAGAAGTTCTCGTGCATTCGTCGCTTCACTCACGAATGCAACGAGTGGGTCTATCAGAAGGGTTCGGCTTGTGGTAGCTACATTGTAGGTCGTGCACAGTCATGATGGGTCCAGTGGCGACGCTAAGCTTGCCATCACAGGCTAAGGGTCGCAGTATGGGTCGGAGCTCGACGACGACTGTTGAGGCTTCATCCGACAACAAGATGGGCCAGGCTCGAGAAAATGCCTGAACCCAGAAGGAACTATCTAAAGTTTTTGTATGCTGCTGCTTAGAAAGAGATCGGAATTACGGCAAGCATACAGAGTGAGATAGTCAACATCCTAATAGAAAAGAGGAGCAGCGATAACAGTATTCTAGAGTGTTGGAGGTAACATGATGCCTAGCATGAATCAAGAGTATTGCCTGTGTATCTGTATGTTGAGCTGCATGCTACTTCCGTCCAGGATTCATTGTGCGTAAGTCTCCAACATGTATGACTTGCAGCCTCACTAGAACTTCTCCTGGGCCGGACGAAGATCAAGCTCGTGCTACAAGACACATCTGAGTCAGCGTCGATCGTTGTGCGGTCGAAAGGAGGGCAACTTACAGTCCAGAGTGTAGGGTGTTGCTCGTGCAGGAACAGATATGTTTTGCCCACAGCTTCAGCCGCGATATGCTTGCCCGCCTTCGTGTCCTCGTTGTCGGCATCAGTAATTCGACCATTCGCTATTGCATGTGCCACGTGGACCTGTGATTCAGAATTCAGCGGGAACCCATCGACTCAGATGATCGTACTTACACCTTTCGCAGACATCTCCTTTGCCAATGCTTGTGCTAATTGTCTGACAGACGCTCTCGAAGCACCATAGCTACCGAATTCTGCATTACATCGTAGTGCGCCCAGAGTACCAGTGAAGATGATGGTACCCTTCTTCTCAGCACCTTCGGCCAGAGTCTTCTCGCCATGGTCTTCGAAGAATCGTTTTAGCGACTCTTGGGCAAACACCATCGCGCCGCCAACATAGGTCGCAAGAGGATCCATAAAGTCCTCAAAGGTCTCCTGCATGAAGGGCTTCTTTGAACTGTTCTTGATAGAGTAGATGGCCAACCGCAACTTCAGGTCCTTGAAGGACCCATGAGACTCGATGTCCGCGAATGCCTTCCGCAGATTTTCCGGCGCAGTATCGGTGGCGAAGGTCTCAAAGACACCCTCTGGTGTCTGCTTTCGCAGATCTTTGACTAGGTCGTTCAAAGCCTCTTGTCGTCGGGCGAGTAACGCGACAGCAAGGTTGCCATGTGAAGGATGTGCTAGTATTCTTGCAATACCAGCTCCAGTAGCAGGGCCTGTGGGTTGTCAGCAAGGAGATTGTATGGGTCGCGGTGAGTACAGACCAGCGCCAATAAGAATTGCAAGACCTACAGGTGCCATTGCGACTGTGGTGTAGATTGTGGTCAATCAATGATGAGTGGGCTCCTATTTCGCTCCATCTACGAAGCCAGCTGCTTTGGAATGGTGCAGTCGTGAGGAGCGGGTGACGCAATACGTCAGAGAACGATACCGCTTGAAACTTTGACCATCAAATACATCTGGTATTTCCGGGGCGAGAATGGACTCCCGTCAGGCCAACGTCAAGAAGCAATCTTCAGGAGCCAGTCAAGTAGACATAATGCTTGAGTACAATTGAGAACATATCTACGGGAGATCTTCTATCATCATCGTCTACCATTTCAACATCAATATTCATGTTTCGTCCTGACTCCACTTGACCAAAGCCTCTTCCTATGCCTGACCCTCGACAGCGACAGGGGCTACAGAGCCATTAACAGGCTTTGGGCTGTTCCTCTGGCTTTCATGCTTCGCTGACTTATCATCTGCACCGTCGTCATAATTCTCATCGACATCCATCTTGCGGGCTGGTGGCTCATACACCTGCGCGGGTTGTGGAGGCGGTGGCGGCGGTGCACGGTGCTCTTCCTGTGGTGGAGCTGATGCACGAGGTGATGGCTGCGTAATCGTGTGCATCGACGGCAGGGATGGTGGATGATGTGCCGCCTCTGAAGGGTGGTAGGCAGAAAGTGGACGTGGCTCCTCCATGCGCTGTCGCATATCAGGTGGACTGCGATTTGGTGGCGTTGCCATCTTCTCTGGCGGTGAAGGGCGATGCATCTTGATCTCTTCGAGACGCGAGCGCTGATCGTCCGTAGAAGGCTTCTTCGGGGCAGCACCATTTGGCTCGTCCTCCCACACCTCGCGTGGGCGCTTGCTCGGAGCTGTGCTAGATGGTCGCTCATCCCTGACGCGAGCAGCAGCGTCGGCGGCAGTCTGGGCCGCTGACGGCGCTGGAGCTCCGCTTGCGATACCTGGCGCGGCGTTAGGGTGATGTTCGAATGGCGTTCGTGGATATTGGCCATTCTCCGCCGGGCCACCGCTATTCACAAGGGGTCGAATCTCCGGATGTGACATTGGCTCTGGCTGGCGCGCGTAAGGTGGCAGCGGCGTATGCGCAGCTGAGGTTGGCATGCCGTTCGGTGCTCCAGCAGCACTGGTCGGTGCTCCGTACTGCGGACGACCTTGGTCTTGCTGAAGATGTGGTGGCTGGCCGAACATCTGGTGCTGAGGCATGCCCTGATGAGGAGGACCAGGCTGATAAGGTGCGGGCGCAGAATGCTGACCTTTGGGTGAAGGTGAGAGACCGCGGTGTGCTGGCGGTGGTGGGCGCTGAGGCTGCTCTTGGTATCGTGGTAGCTCCTGACGTGGTGGGCTAGGCTGTCTCTGTGAGGGCGGAGGCTGCTGCTGCTGTGGTGGCAAGCGATCGCGTTGGTCATATGGATTCATGGCCTGTGGCGGTACCTGTGGATTCTGAAGCTCTGCCGGACGATTCGCGCCCCAGTTGTTGCCGACGGTCATAGGCCCTGGAGCAGGTCCGGGAGGTGGTGGGTTTTGAGAGTGTGCACCCCACTGCGGGCCAGGCGGTCCACCAAGCGCTCCAGGCTGATAAGCTTGTGGATGGACATCCTGTGGGAGTGGTGCACCACCTTGATTCGGCAGACCTGCTGTTGGCTGGCCCTTGAGAAGTGCGAGGCGCGCCTTGATGTGCACGTTAGACGGATCGAGGTCGGCGGCTCTCGTGTACGCATCAAGCGCGTCACTAGTTTGATTGTTGCAGGATTCGTACTGTATGGCGGTCAGCATATCTGCCAATTGCTTGGAACGCGCGAGACTTACAAGGGTGCCGAGGTCATACCACACCTCCGAGATGTTCGGATTGAGGCGGATGGCACGGCTGTATGCGTCGAGCGCGTCTCTGTATTGGTTGATCTGGTAGTAGAGCACTCCGATAGAGCACCAGAAAGTCGGGTTGCGTCCGTCCCGATATACAGCTTGTTGGTAAGCTTCGTACGCTTTAGGATACTTCTGTTGTGACATGTAGCATCTGCCGAGCAAGTACCAGCTTTGTGCGTCGGTCTGGTCTGCTATTCGTGTTAGACATGTACTGCGACATCGAACTATTGTGGCGACTTACCTGAAGCCACAGACTTCTCAAGATACTCAATGGCCTTCTCTTGGCTGCTGAAACTGGTGCTCTGTTGATGGTGTAACCACCCAAGTTGTTGTAGGACTTTGGCGTGGTTCGGGTCGCGCTCAAGCACGCGTGTGTAAGCCGACTTCGCGTTGTCATACTATATGGTGTCAGCTTGCGATTGCGCAACGACCTCCTGAGCACACTTACGTCTTTCTGTTGTTCGTGAACGTGGCCGATCTGGAACCAGATATCCTCTTCACTTAACGGTCTCGGTGGGTCTGACACAATATATCGGAAGCACTAGCATTGTATTAGCATCGGCGCATTTGTGTCAGTGAACACGACATACCTCAAGACTCTGCTGGAACTTCTGTTGCTGCTTGTAGATTATGCCAAGTCTGAAGTAGATCTCGTTTGCCTTCTCGAAGTTTGGGTCCATGCGCATGACTTGAGAGAATGCCTCTTCGGCGTGCTCCAAGGAGCCGTATCTATCGTAGAGGATACCAATGCCATACCACAGCTTCGGCTCTTTCGGGTCAGGCAAATGATACAACGCTTGTTGGTATGCGGAATATGCCTGCTGCAGATCGTCCATCATCAGATAGCAGTGACCGAGACTGCTCCAGACTTCGCCATTGGTAGGGTCGATCTTGATGATTTGCCTGAGATACTCGACGGCAGCGGTGAACTGATCTTTCGATCGGAGAATGCACGAGATCGAGAGCATAGCAGGCACCGACCACTGGTTGAAGCTCATGGCCCTTTCGTAGCATTGAGTCGCGCCATCTAGCTCGCCCATCAGTTCCGACAGCTGCCCGAGCTGGAGCCATGTCTGCTCGTTCACAGCCGCAAGGTGCTGTGCTGCAGGCTTGAACTGTTGCGGTTGTTGTACGGGCATTGACCCGTTCGGCGGTGGTCGTACAGCTGGAGCATAATGATGCTGATGCGGCGGCATAGGGCCAGTCGGCGACTGTTGGTTTGCCATTGGCTCAGACGAGGTAGGATTCACACTGTAGTAGATCTTGCAATCAGCATGGCTCTTGCTGATTTGATCATGCTAGCAAAAGCGTGCTGGATCGGTCGCATAAACTCACCTTGCCAATAGCAACGACGGCTGTCACGGGCACGCTCAGAAGGGAAAGTCCTTCCAGAATCGCAGTGGATAGAGGGTTGCTGGTTCACGATGCAGAGATCGAGGGAACAGTGACTTTCCTCTCGTTGACCGGAAGAGTGCGGGTAGGATGGTAGAGGTGATGGTGTGAGAGACAAGGAGCAGCTCGGGAAACTGAGCAAGACGGCGCCCGCGACTCTGAACCATCTTACCCTCCAGCAACCATTACCCACGGTACTACAAGACACAGGCCCACAGCAAGCCGCAGATTCAGAACCCACGAGGTTAAAGGCGGCTAAGACGAGATCGGCGTCACCCCAGCTTAGCCTGTGCGCCTCCCGTTCAGCGTTTCCACCACTTCTTATGCACCATCAATACATCTCGCATAAGGAAACATATGTTAGTCGATGCCTGCTAAACATGGCTTGTGAAGAGATCGCATCGCACCTGTACATTGCATCCTACCTACTCCGCTCTCGCCTGTGTTAAAGGTTCAGATACCGATGGAGTGGACACGATGCAACCACAATCCGGAAGCATAACCGGACCAGTCCGCAACATGTGCGTCAGGTCGAACTCTCTACGTCTCCTCCACGGGCTATAACACGCTCGCAAGGTCAGATTGCCGACCATCATAATGGCTGTCATGTTCTTATCTCCCGGGACACGTACAGATGTGCTCCATGTGGCACGGCATGAGACAGTCTCTTGCATCCTTCCGGCGCGGACTCATCCCTCCCTCAAACGCGCCGTCATGCTGGGTGGCGGAGTCTGCAGGCAAAAGCCGTTGCCTGGTTCCATATTTCATGTTTTCATGTCGCCCTTTGGTATTGGCTATCTACATGGCAAGGACAACATACCAGGCGCAACGACCATGAGCAAGTTCCGCCGTTGCGACACTGGTGGCCATGATTGTGGAAAGTAGAGGGAGTGGACTCGTGCCTGATATAGCGAACGCAAACGTTGGTTTGATTCATGACACTTTGCGCTGTGCAACGAACGCCAGCACGCGGTGGTAAGTGCCGCTAAATGTCAGCCTACAGCGGTCGTCCGATGCGTATACCCATTATGCGACCAGCAGCCGTGTCTCAGCCAGCTTTACATTAAATTTGTGGTTGATGGTCCGCGATCGAGCTTTTACCAACCGGGCCAAGATCCACTTAACCCAAAGAATGTGCACCCCGGAAACTGCGGCGTCAGCATCTCACTACTTTGAAGGCTAAAAAGCCCACCCTGGCTGCATATTCGACTGCATGCTGCCGCACCCACAGCCGATACCAGACCGAGAAGGAGTGGAGCTGAGACCAACGAATCACATATGAGAAGCTCGGTAGCAGCCGCTATCGTCTAGATCCCGAAAGCTTGGCATCAACGAGGAGAACATGCATCGGGTTTGCGGTCGTGCAACAATCGTGGCGGCTAGCCGTTGTTCTCAGGGCGCATGCATGTGCATTGCACGTATATGGTCGTCTATCAGATATAGTCGGTTCCGAGCGTTCAAGAGTTGGATCGCAGCTCAACGCGCCACAGGCTGCACACGAAGCTCAACTCATGCTTGCCTGTCGATTGTGACGAGGTTGTGCATCGACAAGCTGGAGCACGACATTCGATGTAAGCGATGACGGCCCGCTCTCGCCCACAACCCTGCACGGCTCTGCACGCCAGCGCTAGTGAATGGTAAAGCTTAAAAGTGCCAGACAGAAACGCTCACGCCCAGCCATTTCTTGGCTCATCCTTCAGCCCGAACGCTTTCGCCCCAAAGCATGGTCCACTCAATACTCATTCCGGCATGTCGCTGCAGCGCCCTGAAACGCCCAGGTTCTGGGACAAGAACCACAGGAATCACAAGGATGTCTTGACCCACTTTCGCGCTACAAGCGCGCAGGAGTCGGGTTGAGAGGGAGCTGATCGACTCGAGTTGGAGCTTATCCCTCCACTCAATGCTGTTTTATATGACAGCCACGCGGCGATTTTCAGAACACCAACAGCCATCATGGGCTCCGCACTCAATGACGATCTCTGGATTGGACGATGAGTTGATGTTGCAGCGCGATCCCGGAGCGCAGATTTGTTGCCTATGCGTCGCTACGAAGTGAGCAATCTACATGGAAATGTTGACCACATCATATACCGCAACAAGAGTCACCTGCGACCACTTGCGCTCGATGTTTTATGATCACGAGAAGGCCGCTCGTACGCCAGCGTGTTCGATGACCCGTTCTTTGGTGAAAGGCGGGTATGGGTGAGATGGGTAGTCGGCCGTACCTGTAGCCTGTTTAGATGAGACCACGTTTGACAGTATGGTGGTGTGTCAGAGGCCTATATGAGTATATTGAAGGTTGCGTTCTTCAAGAATCTTGTAGCAACGGAACCGACAAATGCACAATTTGGTGGGTTGTAATTGTGTCATTTCAACGTCAGTGCTTCGAGGCCATGGGCATATACGTGTAGTCAGTAGCTCACTTTACACACATGTTCGACAACGCGAAAGGAACATTCCACAGATTGTCATATTAGAGTTTCGAACTGGGATGTGGAGAACATCTCCTTCAGCCACAAACAGTTGCATCTACACATCTGCTTGACTATTGGATGACGACCTCCACCCTCAGGCATCATATACCAAGTCCATATCTTCTAGCTTTCGTCACACCATACTCAGCCACTGGGCGATGGCGGCTCGTTGTCCAAGGAGCTATAGCTAGCGATAATGCTGGACGACCAGGCAGCCAAGGAGGCCGAAGCAGTTGGTGGTAGGGAGATGAAGCTCTCGGTGTGCGTCGCGTTGGCAGGTCCGATACTAGTCAGGTTCGCAATTACTGGGACAGTGCCGTCCGCGATGTTGAAGTGGTTGATGGAGCGGTTGAAGATGGCCAAGGAACCCTCGGGTTGGTCTGGAATCTAGTCAGCTCTGACTTTGTCGATGATATTGATAGATGGTTGTGTTCTACTCACAGTAAGGAACCTCATGACCCGACTCATAGACTCTCGTAAAGCTGAAGTTCCCATACTGACGCACTTCACCATACTCCACGCCGCCGTACACAAGGGGCTGATAGCCGGCTGCTGCAAACTCTTGGGCGTTTGCGTAGCTCAGTGCCAGAGATATCGCCTCACCTCCGTACCAATTACATATATAATCAGCATCGCCGTAATAAAGGGATACCCTGACACCAGAAGCCAGGATATCCTCCAGGTCACTCAAGAAGTTACCGTAGATGAAGTCGCCCGTAGACTGGAAAGCATAATAGATATCGTTGTTGCTCTCTGTGTAATTCAGGTTAACACCGAGAGCATTCTGGACCTTCGCGGTGTTTAGGTATTCCACGAAATATTCTGGTGGAGTCACGTCACTGAATGGGTGACGGATATCGTAGACGCCGCGACCGCTGTAGTAATAATAAGGTGACTCCACATTGTCGCGGCACATGCTTTGTGCCTCTGAGCAGATGGCATCTAGATCAGGATTGTCGACAGCGGCCTGAGTAATTGTGTCGCCTACGAGGCCGCCTGGAAAGTCGGACGCGGCATTTCTGCACAGGGCGATCTGGTCAAGGCAACCATTCTTCATCTCATTGGCGAATTTGGCGTAGCTTTTTACGGATCAGCACATGCATCAATGTCATGGAAAGGACAGCGAACGAGGCTTACGAGTAAACTGTGTCGTTGTATGCTTTGATGCCGTAAGTGTTGTTGACCGCGAACTCCGGGTACCAGCCGGCCTGGACTTTTTCGTCGATAATACCATTCCCAATACCGAGGCTGTTGAAGTTCAGTCCATATCCCGGGATCGTACCGTTCTCGATAAGCTTGTTCTGCTGCTGGAAGTAGTTGAAGAAGGCCGGGCCGTAGTGACCGCCATAGCTTTCGGTCCTACGAAGGTCATATTAGCTCTGAAAGAGGCTTTCAATGTAGCCAGCTCTCACCATAAGTTGAAATCTTTGGGGACACCAAGCTTGGCATCGAGGCAATCCAGGCCAGACATGAATCCTTGCAGCACATGCCACGCAGCAATGGCAGCCATATCCGTGGTCTTGATCGTGCCTTCGTCGAACGGATAGAGCGTGGGGTATACTCCTGTGGCGTTGGCCTGAGAAGCGTTCAAAAAGGCTCCGGAGTCAGGACCGATACTGCCTTCGGCTTCACCTTGGTAGCTGAATCCCGTGCCAACCTGCTCCAGTCAGCAACTGTCCTCAAAGTGGCTCGTATCCTGCTGGGAGCTACCTACCGGCTGGGAGATAAACAGCATATTCGAGACATTATTGAAAGAGTATGGATTGATCACGCTAGTCAGATCCTCATTGATCCTACAGGGCCCTAGCTCTTGGAAAAGTCCGATCAAAGAGTCTGAGCCGGGTCCTCCGTTCAGCCATATCGTCTGTACTATTCGTCAGTGGGAGCTTGGCTATGTACAGCTCTTTATTTCAAGCAACGTACCAGAGGGTCAGATGCTGGATTTTGCCGGCTCTCGAAGAACCTGGACGTCACGGAATTAGCGGTGTCTCGAGTAGAATCAAGTCTCTTGCAATCATCCAAAGCTCACCAGAAAAAGGTATGGACGTCAGGCGCGAGGTCAATGTATCCACTGTAGCTATTGACACCAGGAGTCGTTTCGCAAACGCCATCTTTCCCAGGCTCCTTGTAGCGGATCTGAACACCAGTAGGGGTCGTGATTGTCTTCACATCTGTAGCGTTGGCAGGGAAATACTGTCGTTTTTCAAGAGGTGCAGTCGATCTCTTGACCGACGGCTTGTACCCAGGAAACTTCAATGCCGTCGTGCCCTCGGAAAGCAACAGCAGCGCCGAAGCTGCAGTTAGCAGAGATTTGTGCCACATCGTTGCAGTATGGTTGTGAAAAGAGGGAGAGAGGACAGAGACTAGATACCACGGCTTAGCGTAGCCTACCTTTATTGACTTCTAATGCACCGCGATCCTACGGTGCCTGCGCTGCTATGCTGGGCCCGCTGCACTACGCAATCGACATGACTATCTCGGGTCTGCCGTTCGCAGAATACGGTGTACCTGTTGAATGATCCGGGCTGGCATGGTATGCTGCATTAGCCTGGGTGCTTGCTCTAGACGGCATCTTGTGTTTGCTGATATCTTTTGCATCAAGCTTCCGAAGCTCGTAATCCCTGGCCGCGATCTAGTCACCGACAAATTACCTTGCTTTGATTTGGTGACCATGCAATTGGTGCAACAAGGTGCTAGGCCGCGCTCCTGCTAAGCCCTTGCAGTCGCCTGATTACCAGTTTCTCGAATCGGCTCGACCTCCGGGGTGGACAGTTAACAAACTTGCCATGACGTTATGATGGTAGTGAAGAGGGGTCTGGGTTTTGAAGATAGCGCTAGGAGTCTTGACTACGCCCCATGAAGAAAGGTTGATTAAGATAAGATCTGGCCTGTGGATCCCAGGGAAGTGAGGAACATCCTGTGCTTCTTGATCGGAAACCGGCAGCATAACGTGACACAGCTTGGTGATGCAAGCTTACGGTTTGTGCGGCCATCGACAACGCTGCTAGATCGAGTGGTGAGGAGATAATCGCCGGGGGAATATATGAAGTGTGGAGAGCAGAAATGAAGCTCATGGCGCCACGCCACTAACCTTAAGCTCGATTGGAAGACACGTGAGAGGATGACAAATTGTAGGTTGAGCAGACAGACGTGATCGAAAGCTCAGCTCCATCTCTGAACATGATGGCATTGTCAAGGCTGTCGAATGAGAACACAATCACAGGTCTTGATATTAGCTCCGAGTCTTCCACTGTAGCGCCACAATACACTTAATACAATATAATTATCCAGTCGTAGGGTATCAGTATATAGACCTGGAAAACTCGGATCACGAATGCCTCCTCGGTAGTAGCTAGAATTATCGTCGTATCGCCATCCCATCGTGCCTCGAGCTGTACAGTACAGCCGTGATATCTCAGACAACATCAACCCAAACTTTGCGTCATCGGCCATCGTGATGGCTCGTGGCCTAATCCTGCCGTAAAGTTGCTCCTCACAGATGCTATCCATTAATAAGAGCCTGTACATTAGCAAATCGCTGCTGCACTTCGTCGCGATCAGATTGTGCCTACGACGCAAAGTCAGCAAAGCACACCACACTACCACCATGACCGTTGACACGACTCACCTGCGCCAAAGCCATCTTAGCCCCCACCAACTCGCGCTCCATATCCTCCTGCTCTTCATGTAACATCCGATTCTCATTCTGCACCTCCAAGTTCCGCGCCATTATCCTCTCCATCTCCTCCTTCAACTTCTCTTCCACTTCCGCCGGCTGCGATTCAACCATCTTCTGGAGTTCCTGCACTTTCATCTTGAGACCTTCATTCTCATCCATGACTTCATCAAGCTGCATCTTTGCTCTAACGAGCTCGCCAGCCATAGAGACGTGTTCGTAATCCTGTTGTTGGGTGCGGTCTTCTAGGCTTTTGACACGGCTAGTCATTGCAGTGCTTGAACTTCGTAAGCTTTCGAGCTCTTCAGTGCGTTCGCGATCGGTGCGTTGTTGGTCTTCCCATTCGGAGGTATATTGTGCCAGTTGTGCCTCAGTGACATTGACCTCACAAGCATCCCGCACCATTTCGTCCGCTCGATATAACTCCTTGTCTGCTCCGCCAGTGACGGAGCCGAAGAATCCCGAGTCGAGTAGTGATGATGCGGAGGGTGATTTGTCGATGTAGACGTCGAAGATCTTCTCTTTGAGAAAAGCGGAAAGCTGGCTCATGTCCTTCATGGCCAGTAATGCTTCACGATTCCTCTGCATGAGAACGATGCCGAACTTTAAGATGGCTGTCAGACCCTCGCTGAAGATCAAATCGTAGACTCGTAAGACCAGTTGCAGCGGGAAGCGATGAGCGAACAAGGTCAAGAACCATTGCGTTGCATATAATTGTGGATCTACTTTCCGTCTTCGTAGATGGCAGTAGAGAGCTGGTTCCAGATCCTCCAGTAGTCTCTCAAATTGATATAGTCGCAGATGGAGACCGTTCATATCAGGTGTGAACATACTCCGTAGGTCGTACTTGCTCATGAGCTTGACCAGTAACGTGAACGACTCTTCCTCGCTCAAGTTGAACAGCAGAGGCATGGCAATGAAATTGATCCCCTGTGCATAGCCCACGCCTTCGTCGAATATAGCATAGGCCTTGCATACTCCGAACAGACCATCTTGCAAGCCTGCAGATTGAGTGTATTTGCTAAAAGACGTCCTCGATCCCATGTCTCGCTTGATGGCCTTTTCCAGTTTCGTTAGAGCAGCGGCTTCTCGCTTTTGCTTCTCTGCCAGAAGTTTGCCTTGTGTGTCCATCGGATTGCCTTCGACAGACATTGGTGGGCTGGCCATGGCTGATGTCGCCGGTGTCGATTCGGTCGAGTGTGTACTTGATCGCGAAGATGCTACGGAATCCTTGTCAAGCGGCACGCCATTGCCTAGATTCGATTGCGACTCGGTTCGTGATGCAGGCACGGGTCGGTCCACATCTGTGCCTCTAGCCTTCAAGGTGCGATATACCGCCTCCAGATCTTCATTCTTGCTCTCGGCCAGGACTTGCCATACAACGCCACGAATAGCTGGAGGTATCCCAGATGCGATCGAAAGCTGGAGCTCTTCGCCACTTGTTCTCCGCACCGCAGCAGGTCCTTCGTAGACAACGGACTGCCACAGATCCCAATTCACTGGTCGCGGCTCATCTGCAGGTCCTGCAGTCATGCCTGTAGCTGTACCAGGTGGTAAATTCGGATCGAGCGGTGGTGATTTGAGTGGACCCGGGTTTGATGCGGCTCTTTCCAGTTTGACAGGTACCGCCATCGAACCTTCCTCGCTGACTTTTGACAAAATACCCGCATCACTATGTTTGCGTGGTGATTGCGGTGCCACGTCATCTGTCGCGTGGCCGTTCACACCATTCATGGCGTGCTCCTCCTGCCTCCTCAGGTCTGCAAATTGGTCCTGTAAGCTAGGCTTTGGCGAATTACCATCCGGCATATCAGCAATAGATGCTAGACCATTCACAGACCCATTCAGAGATGCCATGGAACTGCTTGTGTTTGCCCTCTCATGTCTGAACTTGCTCTCTGGCCGTGCTGGCGGTGATCGCGCAGGCCTCCTAATACTGCCCATTCTGCCAAGCAATCCAGACAACCCATTTGATGCTTTGCGTGCGAAACCTTCGGTAGGTCTGGGAGATGTTCCATTGATCCCATCACCGTTTTGCCGTGTCTCGAGAGCATGCACACGATCTGCTGTGGATGGTGGAGGAGGTGCGTTGATAGCGAAGTCGCCGGAGAGACCCTGCATGATTTGTGTTGGTCGTTTCGAGGGCGATACACTTCGGTCACGGGACTGTGTGGCAGACAGGGGTACTCCTAGGCTTGGTGTGATGTCGATGGTCGTCTGGCGTGAATGTGCAACCCTCGGCTCCTCATCATTGCTGCGTCCTGTTTCTTCGACAATACTTTGTGTCTTCTGACTGACACCGTCGATCGCCAAACCAGTACCTTCAACAGGAGGTGCTGACGATACAGCCCTTGGTGTACTTTCCGACGCACTCTCGAAGCCTTCTGACTCTTGACCTGGTGTCATGTCACCATCCCTCGGCCGCATCTCTGGTTCCACATTGGCCATGCTGAATATGATGGTTGGCGGTGGTGTAGAGCCTGGTAGAGAAAGTTGGCCTCGACTCTTCGTAGCTTTGTTGATCAACTTGGTACTTTTCCGCCGATCCAATATACCCGGCGCCTGATTTCGCCCTGCGCTCGTGACCGGATTATTATACGCTGGTGGGATTGCTGGTACAGGTGGCAGGTCTACAACAGTATTGACTGATGATGTCTCATGAGACACCTGCCCAGCACCAGCAACATGTGTTCCGCCCACTGAACTCTCGTGGCTTTGACTTTCTTGGGATGCGGGTGGAAGTGTGGCTGTCCCTGCATCCGAATCCGACGCTCCTGCAGCCGTTGCTCGTATTTCCTCGAGCTTTCCCGTCGTGCTACCACCAGCTTTCGACATTATTGAAGATAGTCACGATGAGCAGACGAGCTGGCAAACAGGGCCTACGAGAAGATCCAGTGCCTCGCTGCCGCATCGGTGGCCAAGCCTATTTGCCAATTCATTAATTCGCGGTCATCACGTCAGCCAGGGGAGAATAGAAACAGACTTCCTCATCGGGCAAGTGCCTCCGCCAATTGCGCCACGCATATGCCACGGTAATGCAATGCTACAAGCCGTCTGAGTACTACTGTAGAACAATCACGAGGCACAAGGCAATGCTATAGACAGTGAGTCTGCAACTTTGCAGTCCCTTCCATCGTATGACCGCCATTGCATCAGCACTGCTGTCATTTTGGCAAGAACATAGCACAAGATTCGCCGAGATCTGGAACCTGAAATAGATCTTCGCAGCCACCCGTGTGGCGCGATCCAACAATAAGGTAAAGGTGCATGTCTTGTTACTCGTGTCATCTTCAGCATGGCTTCCATATCTCACCTTCATCTACGCAGCATTGTATCCCGCCTGATTTTATGCGGTGAAGCGCAGCTTTCCTGCGTGTTATCTCTGCCTCGCAGATAATTTACTCAATACGCTCAGATACGGGTGTAAGGAGGAGAGACGGTGACGTAAAGCTATGAAGGCTAAGTACGTCCAGAATCATACTGTTCTTCGTGACGTATTTCTGTCTTCCATCCGATAGCGAACACAATAACGAAAGGAGTCCTTGACAGTAATTCACGACCATTGAATACACCGAGCAACCACCACGCGTCTGGAACCAAATACGAACAAAATCGGCAATGACCAAATCAGCCAGCTTCGACGTCCTAGGAACATGTTTCCACTTCCAGCCCGCCATTGACACAATAGCAGAACGTCTTGGTTCCAAACTCAATGCAATAGGTGTCGACCCCAAATCTCTCTTCTTCAGCTGGTTCTACGCTGCCCAACGCGACTTCACCTACGCTTCCATGTGCGGAGCCTACAAGCCCATAGCTCAGATCTTCAAGCTCACATTCAAACGAGCCTGCTTGATTCTCGATCTTCCTGCGGATCAAGTGAGCGATGATGACGTAGCGGCTATTATGCAGCAGATTACTAAATTACCTCCGAGAGAAGGATTGAAGGAATGCTACGATGGCTTAAGGGCAGCAGGTTGGGACGTCTCCGGCGTAACGAACGGAGGCAAGCAGACGAGTCTGAAGTACTACGAGCTTGCTAACATCGAGCTGGACTCCGATCATTTGCTCTCATGTGATGACATCCAGGTGGCGAAGCCGGACGTCAAGGTCTACCAGACAGCTCATCTGCATCTTACTTCTCGTGGTGTGGGCCAGGAAGGCGATGGCGAGAGATGGTTCGTCGCGGCGCATGCGTGGGATTTGATTGCGGCGAGGAAGGCGGGTTTCAAGACGGCGTATCTGTATCATGAGGAGCACGATCCTGTTACTGAGATTTTTGGGCAGTTTGATATCTATGCGCGGGATTTCAACGAGTTGTTGCAGAAGATGAAGGCTGTTTAGACTGCTCGACTCACATCTTGCGTATCCAATCCAAAGCAGGCATTGGGATTGATAGCTATGCTGGATGGACGTGAGGCTTTGTGTGAGGCTGGTCACCACTAGGGTTAGGGTTTGGGTAGGTTCATGAAGATGGTATATTCGAAGTGACTGGACAAGGAAGAAGGCATGCCTCGCCCAACAGTTCGTATTCTAGTGTCCGTTCGCCGCGCCTTTGCGAGGTGTATATAATTAGACGTGTTCTGCGCCTCGAGCATGTTCGTGCATCAGTTGTGTCTGATGATCGGAGGCCGCGGCCGAGACTCCAGCAAGTTGGAATCTCGAGAACCAGACGGCCGCGCACACATGCTTGGCTGCGCCCCCTCCAAGTCCATTACTTACCAAATGCTCATTGAAGCAAATGACCATACCATTGCCCCTTGACTGGTCTTTATTCTCCGTCGTGTCTGAGAAGGCGGTGCAGCAATACATGCAATAGCCGTACTTCTGCCGCCCTACGCCAACTGCAACGATTCCTCGGTCATCAGCCCATCCCTTTTGGGTACTTACTGCGAAAAGAGACACGCCGACCACCGCTTCTCGATCACTTAGCAGTGACCAGCCGTTATAGGCAGCACTCTACACAGGCTATATAGACGCCATGGGCTGGACCGATGTTCTCAAGCCGCGACTGAGTGTCAAATACATCTTCTGGGCTCTGGTCACAAGTTACTTCTCCATCTGCATACTCTTCAGGATGCCTTTCTTCAGCAGCAAGCTACCGGCATATACCGGACCGTACAAGGTCGGCACTATAGATATCGAGGCTCCGGTCGAGAAACGTAATATCAGTGAGGCCAGGTTTGCGAATGGTGGCAAGCCAGCGTTTGAGCTGGAGACCGTGCTGTTCTCGCTCTACTACCCAGCGAACAAGGACGCACGATCGCATAGGCCACACCACCACTGGATATCAAGACCGGTAGGTCTTCATGCCGAAGGATATGCCAGGTTCGCGCACATCAATAACTTCTTCACCAACAATCTCTTCACTTTCAGTCTGTGGACTTTGGCAGGCAGCACGACCATCCCTGCAGAGGTAGATGTACCACTGAATGGCACGATCAAAGGATACCGGAACTACGACAAGGAACACCCTCTCGATGACTATGGTCTTCCGCGACATCCTGTTATCGTGTTCTCCCACGGCATGGCATCGAGCCGAACAAGCTATACGCAGTACTGTGCCGAGCTCGCCTCACGCGGATTTGTCGTGGCTGCGATTGAGCATAGAGACGGTAGTGGGCCTGGCTCAGTGATCATGAGCGAGGGCAAAGTCAAGCATCGCTTCCACATCAATGCTGATCAATTGGATCCCAGCCCCGAGACGGCAGACTTCAAAGTCATGCAACTTGCTTACCGTCAAGCTGAGATCGAGGAGACTGTTCGCGTACTGCGACAACTTAACGAAGGTATTGGCGGGGACTTCTACAGAAGCAATCCGCGAGAGGAAGGCAAAGACCTTGCCGAGTGGCGAGGACGACTAATCGTTGACAGCATGGTCATCAGCGGCCACTCCTATGGTGCGACAGGCGCTCTACAAGCGCTCGCAGGCGGGCCCACATACGAGCGACCTTTCGTGGGCGCCGTGATCTTAGACCCGGGCAAACAGTCAGGACCTCTAAACGACGACATCCACGTCCCAATGATCATCATACACTCCCAATCCTGGTCTAACTCGTACAGCATATTCCAAGGCCGACCACACTTCGACGTGGTAAAGGACATCGCAGTAAAGAATCTAGATGAACATCACAAATTTACCTGGTTCATGACAAGTATAGGCACGACCCATCCTTCCGTTACGGACGCACCACTTATTGAACCGCTATTACTTTCCTGGACCACAGGTGCCACGATCGAGGTACGGGAGGGAGTGAAGCAGTATGTCCTGGCCACGGAAGACTTCATGCACTTCCTCTCCACAGAGCAGAGGAAGGGCGTACTGAAGGAAGAGACTACTCATCCACGGTATGATGAGGACATTCGGGATGAGGATAGGAAGCAGCACATGGATCAGGAAGTGGCGAAATATTGGCAGATCCATGTTGCACCCACGACAGCGTGCGCCGCGCCTGGGTTGTGTGGTGTATGGCCTGATCGAGCTGGACGGCCAGGATCGTAGTGGATTTACGGTGGTGGCGCGTTCGTAAGGTCATTCGAGGCGTAATTGGCACGCGTGCTGGCACAGCCTTCGGTCAGGTTCAGGAAAGACTCTTTGACTTTGCTAATACGAGCGGACTATAGCAAGGCATTCATGTAGCAGTTATGTACAAGTCGACCATCATCAACGTCATCGCGTAAGTTTCTGATTTGCAAGGCATCAGCTCATCGTACTCTTCTCTGCAGCAAGACTCGTTTCATGATGCTTCGCGCCAGCCAAGCCGTCCTTGTGTTTGCTTACCACACTATCATCAATCGTCTCATCAAATACGTCCACTTCCGTCTTGGCGAACTTCCTCGCGCTGACTTTGCGCTCGAATAGCAAGTCTAATTCTGCAAATGTCCGACCTCGTGGTTCGGGGACACGGAAGTAAGTATACACGACACAGCAGGCGCATAGACCGGCCCAGAAGAAGCCGGTGTAATTGCCCCAATTCCAGGCAGTAGGATTGAGCATATATGGAGTAAGCACGGAAGTAATAATGCCGACAATGTTGTAGAGATTTCGGCCAAGAACGACCGTCTTGATCTGTAGGCGTCGAGTCGACAGCTCGGCAACGAGCGAGTAGCAGACGGTGCCAACCGTGAGTTGGTAGAACAATGCCCAGACGATCATGATACTGCCAGTCGCCAGACCCGCTTCAATCTTATGCGCCGCTGGCACCAGACCAAGGAAGCCCATGATGAAGAGCATAGAGAAGAGACCACATAATCCATAGAAGTAAAGGCTACGGCGGCCGATACCCCAGGTCATCAAAGCCCATGCACCGAAGACACCGACCATGTTGATGGCGTATTGGCCCATGGCGAAGCTATAGCTGTTGTCTTTGCTCACACCGGCTTGCTCGAGGAAGTAGGTGGAGTAGTTGGAGAAGGCATTCCCGCTGAGATTCTGAATGGCCCAGACCATGCAGACAATTTCTGTTCGGCGGAGGTCGGTACCTTTAAAGCAGTCCAAATAAGATGCACCCGTGGTGATCTTCTCCTCGAGCTTGGTCGTGTGCACCATCATGGAGACCGTCTCATCTGCGTCGAAGTCGGTCTCGCGGTTGAGACTTGTGAGGCGGAGGAGGGACTTTTTGGCTTCTGCTAAACGCCCTTTGCGGACGAGCCACCTGCAAATATTAGCAGGGAGTAGATGGTGCTAGTAAGAGGACATACCATGGCGATTCCGGCGCGAAGATTATGCCGACGATCAGAAATGGTGGCCACATCCATTGAAGTGCATATGGTATGCGGTAAGCCCATTCGTCTGTTCTCCCAAGCATGGACTTGATGACACCGATTGCGATCAGCTGACCCAAACCCCAACAGAAGTTGACATAAGTTGTAAGGTAGCCGCGAAGAGCGACAGGGCAGACCTCGGAGGCGTAGGTGATGGTGAGTGTTTGGACTAGAGTTGATCAGTACTGAGTCTCGAAACCACGATGGTCGGATTACTGACAGACGCCCCACGGTATACCGCACAGAATCTCGGCAGCCAGCAAAGCATGGACTGATTGTGCCGTGAAGAAGATGGTCGTGAAGGCAGCGATCAGGACCAAGCAGGCAATAACGGTATACCTGTAGCCGAACCTCTCACTGACGATGCCGTTGATAGCCAGACCAATGATCTCTCCCACGTTAGCTCCGTTGCTCAAGCCAGCCTGCCACCGAGCTGGGACCTGCCATGTATCTTTGACTGGATCGTATACACCATACTTCTGGTTGAATTGAGGGAAGGCGTAGAAATTGTTGATCAGTGCAACATCGTATCCCTCCATGGCTATACAAGTAGAGATCAATATGCTCCATGCAATGGCCTTGGGATAAAGTCGTATGCCTTGTAGCAGCGTCATGTTGTGTTCTTTCTCCGTTGCAGCTCTGGCATTGAGGATTGTCTCCTCCATAGTCTCGGTCTGCTTCAGCTCGTCGCCGGCAGGGAAGTGCAGTGGGCCGCCTTGTTGCTCAAGGTGGTCCTTCTTCTCGCTACCAGTAACATTTTGTGCATGGTCGACCGAGTCCTGATGAGCCATGGTTGGTCGTTGGTCGTCCACGACGTTGGCTTTTCCTCTTGATGTTGACGTATTGAAGGAAGAGTGGTGTGACAAGACGCGCAACGGGAAGAAGAAGAGGAAGAGGCGTAAGAGAAAGTTTGCTTGTCAACACTTGCGATGGTGATGGGTTATCTTATGTCCTCGCGTCGCCGGTGCTCTGACGACCACGCGACAACCACGGCCCGATCGTAACGGACGCTGGGAGCTTCAACAGTCGCCGACAGGTGCGGAGAAGGTTCCTATGCTATACGGAGTGATTGGAGATACGCAAAAGACGCTTCCATAGTCGCTCGCCGATGCATGGAAGACATGAAGATGCATGTTTTGCCCATGGGGTGTGGGTGGTGTGAGGGGAAGCTAGCTTGCAGGAAAGGTGAAACTCACTTCCTTGAGCCGACCGGCCTCCGGTGAAGTTGATCCGTGGTCGATCAAGACGACACGCTTTGATTTACGTTGTTATCGTCCAATCTGTTTTGCTAAGAGGAAACTCCCACGTACCACAAGTCAATTCATCACGCAATTTGTCCTCGACGATTCAATCACTGCGAGGTCGCGATCCTTGCGAAGTTTTTCATAGCACGATGCGAGCACGCAGCTCTGGTGGCTTGAGATGGCTTGCATGTCGGCGACTGAGTAGGGCCGACTGCGGTCTTTCGGCAGCTGCTGGATCATCCCTATCACCGACGATGCCGTGAGACCACCTCTGATAGGTTCGTTAACCCGGTTGTCCTGAATTCTGGATCAACTTGAGTCCGTTCCTTGCCTTTGCTCCGTCACACCACACATTATTCTTCGGCATCTCCTCCCACGCCGATTCACATCAGAAAGATACCCTGGCCACATGGACGGCGGGAGAACCTTGAGACTAGCTTTCGACTGACTATGACTCGTGTGGTGGAGAAGTCTGCTATCGATATCATACAGAACATCTATGCTACCTTGCTGAAGAGTCAGCTTGCGAGATCGGGGTAAGTGGAGAAACAGGATGCTCCACGTCGCGCCGCGACACGATGTCTTCACAGGAGTAGCAAGGTAGTATTCTTGTTTCCACTATCATTGTCAAGGTAGATTGCTCCAGGATGGCTAAAACCGATATACCGACGTACACAATCCTGGAAGCGGACGGTCAACACGAGGACAACGATCTCGAGGACCGCCTTTTCGCTCAAGATCCTACTAATGCCTACACTGTCCGTTTCGTACGCGGGAGTCTATCACCTGGTGAGACGGCAATACGTAAACCATGGACAGACGTGCCAAAACAACTTCGAGACGAGGTCGACGGAATTATGATGTTGAAGTTGTACTTACGGGAGGAAGATATTGCATTATTTCCCAAGCTCAAGGTGTGAGTGAACATGGCTTGCAGGAGTCGTCTCTTTGTCTGATCCTTGATTTAGTGTCGTACGAATGGGTGTAGGCTATGATCGGATCGATCGTCCGGCTTGTGCTAAACGAGGTGTCACTGTTTGCAATGTGCCTGGTATACGATTGCTTCTCCATCGAAAGCTACCAAGCATCGCGATACTGACGTCAATCAGACTACGGGACAGAAGACATCGCGGATCACGCCATCGGTCTCGCCCTCTCACTTCGCCGCGGAATTCTACTCCATCACGACCTCCAACGAGCGGAACCTCCGGCACCATATACGCCCATAAAGCACCCACTGATCGCTCGCTCCCGCGGGGCAGTCTTTGGGGTCTTGGGTTTGGGTCGCATAGGCACAGCCGTGGCACTCCGAGCCAAAGCCTTCGGCTGGCACGTCTTGTTCTATGATCCTTACCTTCCCAATGGAGCGGATAAAGCTATTGGTGCCGAACGAACGAAGAACATCAAGGACCTCTTCCGAAGGTCGAGTATCTTGTCCATTCATTGCCCTTGTACCCGAGAGACGAGGAATCTGGTCGGTTACGATTTGCTTTCGCTCTTGCCAAAGGATGCTTTGCTCGTCAATACCGCTCGTGGTGAGGTTGTGGATCTCGATGGGGTAGAGAGATGTTTGAGGGAGGGAACATTGGCTGGGGCGGGACTGGATGTCTTGCCTGTTGAGCCGATTGAGGAGCCGGCTCATCCACTGATCCAGGCTTACCGTAGGCGAGAGGCGTGGTTGACTGGCCGTACGTTCCAACTCAAACCAGCGGAGAATAATCCTTGCTAACTTTGGTGTAGGCATGGCCTTGACCTGTCACACTGCATTCTTCTCGCCGAGCTCTGTCGAAGAGATCCGATCAAAGTCAGCGCAAACGATGCGAGAAGTGGTAAGTGGATGTTATGGTATTGCGGGCTCGGCGACATTTACTGACATGGGTACTTGTAGCTGATTGACAAGATCTCGAGCAACGTTATCCTGCCGGAGATGGAGTGAGACTGTCGACTAGATTACTCGCTACCGACGGGGTTTACACCAGTCATCGTGGACCTCTTTGCAGTCAGCTGTTGGTACTCCAAGGGCGAGATTCAGCGCGGGCTAGGTGGCAGAGAAGCTTGCTGTCACGTGGTCCTCGTCTAGACTTAGCAGCAATGGCCTTTTATCGAAGCCCATGGTACTCCTAGTAGACGCAGCACGATTAACGATATAGCTGCGGCGGCATTCGTGTTGCTTGCCTACTTCGCTCTCGATTCTCTCGAGTCGACTAGCTGTCTACTCTCCTGTTGGACAAATATGCGTGACTCGTGCTCTTGCAGAAACGGGCTTCGGCCCCACATCTAGCCGTGACATCTCCTCAGACTGGGAAACTCCCAATCCCTACTTTCCATCAGTATTCATGCACACACGCATCACCGTTGTTTAAGACAGACTGGTGGTGTGTCGAGATTGCTCATGGTATCTTCCGCCAACGTCTTTCGTCGCGAACAATTGGCGAGATTCGGCAGTCTATTCTCGGTGTCTCGGCCAAGAAAGTCAAACCCCGAGCTTGCTTCGTGCGCGACCAAGACCTTGAAACCATCATCACCACATCCTCCACCGTTTCGTTCAGGACTATTCCACGGCCGCTGACTCCATCTCAGTCTAGATCTGTACTGCCACATGGTTGGTAAGGTCGGCAACGTCGGTATTGTCCTGCCAGACCGTTCCTACAACAGCTTACACCGGGCCAAGCCGAGCGGACACACTTGGTATGAGGCTGTGAATAATGCCCAGCACTTACGGCCAAGGACTGCTACCAGTGTGCATAACAAATTTGGAAACACAGAAGACGATCCAAGCCCACTGCAGCTTTCTTGACCTCATCTCACATCCCCTTCCAAGCCGCCAAAGCACGTGTCAATTCGCCTTCGCGGTCCTCACCATTGCCTGTTCTGGTCGAGACGATGATGGACACTCCCGATTCGACATGCACCACACTACCATGCCCGCCGTATAGGGATGCAGCAACGCATATGCCGAGTACGCTGCCCAGGCTCTACATGCTCTACGCAGTGGATCGCTGGCTACGCCTGTAATCTCACGCCTATACGCAGTTCTTGGGTCTGCTTGGAAGAACATGCTCGTTCCTCTTGGTATCATGCTCAGGAGCTGATCGAAGAGTATATCCTTGTGCAGCTCTCTCGCCATGAATCAAGTTTTCCCCAATCATCCAATTGTATTTACTTCTACAACACGCTCGCTGCAGTCTTCGCGATCAATCTTCTTGCCTTATCATCGCATCTCCTATTCTTCTCCAATAACTTGATAACCGATCAAGATGCATTTCTCTACTATCGCGGCCACTACGGCTTTTGCCACCACTGCTCTCGCCGCTCCGAACGCGCAGTTCTGGTGGCCTCGTCCTCAATTCAGCCGCCTGGTGCAATCCACTGTAAGTGGCACCTCCGACTGTGCGGCTCCTACCGCTACTACGACTGCCTATGTCACAGTCACTGAACACGATCAGGTGACCAAGCCCGCCTCCTCGACCACCAGTGCCACAGTCATTGCGGATCCTACCGGCGGCAGCAGTACGAGCACCACGGTGATTGTCTCTCCACCAACGACGACTGTTGTCGATGCCTCCTCTAGCTGCGCAGCGCAGACCGCGACCATCATTGCGACTTACACCGCCCCAGGCTCGACCGTAACAGCTCCTGGCTCGACAGTGACCGCTCCTGGCGAGACCCTCACTGTCCCTGGCTCTACCGTCATTCTGACCGTCACGGAGACCGCGCCTTACCTAACCAAGAACGAGACCTCTCCGGCTCTGCCCACCGGGACTCCCCGGAAGTGCATTACACCTCAAGAAGCCGAGGAGCTCGCCGAGGTCTTCCGTCAACTCATCCAGGACTATAGCACTGGCCTCGCCCTTGCCGCTTTGACCGAGGACTTCGTCGACTACAGCTCGGCCGTCAACATCCTCATGAACAAGGGTGCTCAATACCCCAAGAACATCACCGGTCCTACCTTCGCCACCCGCGCACTTTTCATGGCTGGTCAGGGCTCGCAGCCCAAGATTCCTTTCGAGCGTCTCAACACCTTCTGGGGCTGCGATAGCGTCAGCGTGAGATGGTGGACCAGCCGCTCTGGCAATGGACAGAAGACCGAGGCTGCCATGGTTGTAAGTTCCAACCACATCACCCTTTCTTCGTATATTGATACTGACATGTCCTTCAGCCCGTCGTCGGCAATGGCATCATGCACGTCGTTCCATCTCCCGAGGCCATCCAGACCTACAACGGCGTGACCTACAACTGGCGCATCAAGGAGCTCTATTCCGAGTTCAACGCCGCTGCTTGGCTCGTCAACTTGGGCGTCTTCGTCCCAGCTGGCCCAGTCGACTACATCAACAAGGCTAACGCCACCAACACTACCACCAAGCGCTCCGTGGACGACTACGAGCACTTCGATGCCAGCCTTCGTGGTGCTATGATTTAAGCAGATCTTGACCGTGTGGTGCATGGATAGGATGTAATGGTAATGCTTGTACATACAATTTGGGTATGGCTAGAGAATTTTTGGTGTTGAATAGCGGTTCGTTTCTTACGGCATGCGACATGGCAATCAGAACGATTGGGACAGCGCATCTTGAGCATGGTGTTGGTAGATGATATACGGCATTTATTCCCTCTTCGCTTCTCAGCCATTCCACCAAATCTGTTAGAGTTCGACAGTGACACTGGTTGTGGTCACCCAAGGCGAATGACTTCAGCCACACTCCCATGAGACACGGTGAGTAGCACACGCTTGCGCCGCTGACAACCAAGGTACGAAAAGGTCTCCACTGACAATCTGCAGTACACACCGTAGTATCAGTCTTTCATACCGTCATAGTTGACAGACTCGGCTGCAATCGATTACATGAGCTGGCGCACATGGACTCGAGCTTGACTTCGCGATGTGAAAGCTGACGGCACACCATGCTTCACTGACTGTGATATGCATATGAGGGCCAGCAGCCGCAATTCTCTACCTGCTTGTGAGATCGACAAGCCGTGGTGATACTAGCTAGGTAGCTACGTACACATCCCGTCCACATGGCCAGACCGACCTAAAGAAATGACAGCAGGGTACACTGAACGACTACCGGTAGACTCGAACCGTGATCCAGAGCTACCATCGACTACCCAACGAGTACTTCGACTCCGATCGGTAGTGGCGCCAGAGATATGTGCAGCACCCACCGCCTGTCTCCCTGGGGTTCCAGCGCATGCGCATCACCAGGCGTCAGTATTTGATAATAAATAAGTCTGCTAGACAGGCAGAGCAGGTAGACATGGCCAGATCTGCGACCCAGAGATCCAGCATACACGGTCTATGTGGCCTGAGATGCGGGAACACCCCTCGTCGTCCTTGACGGATACGAGCTCTTGCACCGTCATCTGGATCGTTTGCGGCGGTGCATCTTCGGTGCGGAGCTAGAAGGATTCTTCATCGTGTGCGGCGTCCATATTGTCTTGCGCCTGCAGCGAGACTCAGCTGAGGCGTACGTGTGTGCACACGGCTTGTGTTAGAGAGGATGCCACGTCCAGACAATGTGGTCTTGGGGTGCGATGAGCGGCCTCGCGAAAGTCACGCTATAACCTACCTGTATACGGGACAACGACCAAGTCTAGGTGGCAGCATCCACGTAGCGGGCATGCTGGTGGATCTCCTTTGCGAGAGGGCGGAAGGATCGTGCCGTTTCAAGCTACATGCTAAGGTTGTTGCGTGGTTGTGTCTCATTCCGCATGACGCGCAGGTGAGATCAGGAGGAAGCGGCCGAGGATTAGTGACCGCGATCCCTGCTAAACGCCGCGACGTGTTAGCAATGCATCGCAACACAGGATGATGCTGCAGGGAATCGTCGAGGCGTGGAAATTGGATTCCATTTAGCACGGTAGTGATCGAAGTGCTTAGCACGTGCAAGACCTGTGCAAGACCAGTGTCAAGTAGTAAGACGTGTCGTTCAGCCAGCCACAATGCGTTGGGCTAGTGGACCTTTGCAGCAGCCCAGTTGTACTTCATGACAAGCTGCTGCTGCAGCCCCACGAGCTTCCAGCATCACATTCGGGGAGGCCGGTCTCAACAGTGAGAAAATTCATACAAACCAGTCCAGGTATCGGATTGTCGCCCAAGCGACAATTGCGGTGTATCCAGCTAGTATGAGATCTTGCGTATGCTTCTGCTTCCGACATCGCTCCGTACACCGCCGTCTTGGTCAGTACCTGATCGTGTGAGTCTGTCGGGAAACATAGCAGCATCTTTAGGTGGTATCTCCCCTTCGACCACCTTGATCTTGCCCTTCTGCATATTCCCAAACCTGAAGATCTTCTGGGGGCGAGGGAAGATTTCGGAAGCTTTATCTTCGAGCCACAGTGCGTCTTCCCGCAAACCTTTGGCATGCGCTACTGTGATCGTTTGCTCCATCGTCTTCCATGAAGAAACCTTGGAAGTCATCACTAGGTGGAAGCGAGGCTATAGCTTCTTGCTTGGTCTTGCCATCGAACTGCCGCTTGAAAAGAGTAATGGCGGGCCCAGGGTTTGGCGTCGTCGGGTGTCGTAAATGCAGAACGGCCACTTCCATTTGTCTGGCGCTGTCAGATCCTTTGATTGTATATCCTCTGCGAAAGCTTAGAAATCGGTCATACAGGGCCGGATCGGTCTTTGTCCATCCTGGTCGGCAGAGCGCTTTTACCAACTCGACCGCAGCTGGGTATAGCGATAGTGTGAGCCACTGAGGGCCATCTAACCGGCCGTTAGTGCCCTTCGGGAGTGGTTTTCTGGGATCTGGTTGTACAAGAGCGTATCCTCTGCTGCAGGGCTTCCAGCATTTCAATGAAGACTTGTAGAGCGCGGTCCGCGGAGACGGATTGAGCATGGCGAAGGTGCGCTTGAATCACGGAGCGAAAGAACAGCCCACGCCAGACATACCACATCGGACCAATTGCCGTCTCAGCCTTGGTCTCATCAATGTCGACTTTGACCCAGTCCAGAAGTATGTCTTCAAGTCCTTCAGCAACGGCGGAGTAAGTAAGCCATATCATCGCCTCACCACGACGCAGAACGAAGTGAAGCCAAGCATCGTAATTCTGCAGCAGGTATTGAATAATCAGAGCCGCGACAGGTTGCGCGCAGGCATAGTCAGACATCTCCTTCTTGGACACTGCGCTTAGTTGCTTGAAATGGTGCGCCAAACAGACCTCGATTGTGCTTATATCGATTGCTCTCGCCTCCAAGCTGCTTCGTAGGATATCGACGGGACGTGCTTCGGCATGCTTCAAGCGCTTCTGCACCTCGAGTGCCGCAAGCGACACCCATGAGCGATTCCGTGCGTGAACATCCGGCAGATAGTTCCATTTGTCCGTCTTGTGGGCATCCGAGTCGGACGCACGAACCCTGTCGGGTTTGTATCGATGTTTCGCGCCAATTGGACGTGAGTCGACAGGGGAGTCTTCTCCAAGGTGCTTAGACGCAGTACTCCCAAAGGCGGCATTGAACGAAGGGGGATGCGCTACAGACCACCGTCGACCACCAAAAGTACTCCTGGGCTTTAGGTTGCAATGCCAGCGTCTGATCAAACTCCGCCATCGTCGGGCCATCAAGTACATGCGAGGTCGCCATGTCACCGCGAAAGTCTATGCCGGTGACATGGTCCAGATGGTGAGCTTGTATGAGCTCGCAATCATGGCGTCGCAGAGCTCAGGGCACGATGTAATGCTGGAAGATGAAATGTGACAGGTCGTGAATGAATAATAATATGATACATAGAGCTTTGGATGTAGCTGGATTGGGAAGAGCATGCCAAGCCCGACGCGTCTCCCGCTTTGGGCGAAAGTGCGGCGCGTCATCTTTCAGATCGTCTGTACACGACGAAGCGGCACATTTATTCCACAAGATCAACCATGGCTCTCCTCGTCGACAAGCATCGCCCACGTACCTTAGAGACCCTCACATACCACTCGGATCTCTCCGCCCGGCTGCGCTCCCTGGCAGCTTCGGGCGACTTCCCACATCTGCTCATCTATGGACCTTCTGGAGCCGGGAAGAAGACTCGTATTACAGCTACCTTACGTGCACTCTACGGTCCAGGTGTAGAGAAGATCAAGATCGACAGTCGTGTCTTCCAGACCAGCTCCAACCGCAAGCTCGAATTCAACATCGTCAGCTCAAATTACCACCTCGAGATCACGCCGAGCGATGTCGGGAACTATGACAGAGTGGTGGTGCAGGATTTATTGAAGGAGGTCGCACAGACGCAACAAGTCGATCTCAGCGCCAAGCAGAGGTTCAAGGTCGTGGTCATCAATGAGGCGGATCACCTGACCCGAGATGCTCAGGCCGCACTGAGGAGGACGATGGAGAAGTACAGTCCGAATTTGCGACTGATCTTGCTGGCCAACAGTACGAGTAATATCATCGCGCCGATCCGATCACGATGCCTGCTTGTGCGGGTCGCGGCGCCGACTGAGGAGGATATCGCGGGGGTGTTGGCGAGGGTGGGTAAGAAAGAAGGGTATAAGAGTTGTGAGCCGTTGGAGAGGAGGATAGCGAAGGATAGTGGGAGGAACTTGAGAAGGGCGCTGTTGATGTTTGAGGCGGTGCACGCGCAGAAGTGGGTGGTTTGCCGTACGATCAAATCGTGTTGCGTATGCTGACTATTGTTGTAGTGACAATGTCACTGAAAAGACACAGATACCACCACCTGATTGGGAAGCTCTGATCGAAGTCATTGCCAAGGAGATGATTGAGGAGCGGTCGCCACAGCGCATCTTGCAAGTGCGAGCGAAGCTATACGACCTGCTCACCCATTGCATTCCCGCGACCACGATCCTGAAGGTGTGATTCACTCGCTGGTGATGCTCTCGCGTGCGACTTTGTGCTAATGTGATTACTCAGACCCTCACCTTCAAGCTCATGCCCAAAGTCGACGATGCTCTCAAATCAGATATCGTCAAGTGGAGTGCCTTCTACGAACATCGCATCCGTATGGGCAGTAAAGTCATCTTCCATCTCGAGGCTTTCGTCGCCAAGTTCATGCGGTTGTATGAAGGGTAAGTCTGCCTCTTGCACGGACTATCATATCACAAGCTGACTATCATCCCAGCAATCTGATGGGTATGGATATGGACTTCGACGACTAGCAGCTGATGGCAGACTGTACAAGAGGTGATCTGCTTCGATGATGGAATTAGCGCGGCGTTTGATGGTGGTATAGCAATGCGGGGACGAAGCCAATGGTGGCGGTCAGCGTGCCTTCCCCGCTTACATCCCTGTTTGTATGCGACTGCATATTCATATTCAACCGCGTCTCAATGCTCTCACGTGTCCACGAACCAAACTGATACACAAGCTTATATCGGAACACATACATCTTCTGTCACTACTGCTGACCTCATCGACTTCCATCTACGCGAACCGTTTACTCGAGTGTATTCTCACCATCATGTCATCCGGCCTAATGGACACAGAAGCAGGAGGCGAAGGACAACAGTAAGTCTTCATAGTACAGAATAGCTTAATCAACCACCCAAACTCACGCATATGACAGATACGGCGGCAAACTCTTCACCGAAAACCCCGACAACACTGGCTCCAAAAAGTCCGGCGGCCAACTAGGCCAAGTAGAAACTACCACCAACCCTTCCGAAACCCCCGAAGGCAAAGTTGCTGCTGCTGAGCGCGCGGAGAAGACGACGGAGAATATTCGGTATGGACAGACGATCACGGAGACGGGGGGCATGAGTGGTATGACGGAGGGGATGGAGGGGAGGACGGAGAAGGAGGGGTTTGGGAGTAAGGTTGGTGATCGAGTTGAGGGTGGGGAGGGGGATGAGGTGGCGGGTGGGAGGAGGGCGCAGGGGTATGGTGGGGACGGGGATATGGATCGGGAGGTTGGTGCTTGAGTGGTGTAGTGAGAGATGCTGGGATATTGGTCTGCTGGACGCTTATACCCGGGATGTGAGCAGAATATGCGGTATCACGATGCATTTGAGGAGCTGCTTGCACCGCAGACTGCCTTCTAACAGGTCGAGGAGTTACTCCGCCGTCCCCTAAAGCTTCTACTCGTAGACTATTCAAGGTATACCCTGAGCACTGGCAGCATCCACTTCCTCGCAACCACTTCGAGACTAGCAGATAAGTCTCACATACAGACTATCCGCCACGGCACCCTATCTCTTTCTCTATCCTTTCTGTGGCATTTCATTCCATTCCACTTCCTACAAGTCACCAAAGTTCTGTCCACCACCACCAACCAAAGAGCCCCACGATCCACCCATAGTCTGTGCTCGTGCAATCGCCGCCTCAGACTCACTCAGCTCATGTACCTCTTCGTATACCTGCTGCATAGCATCACGTTCCATCCGACCTCTAATCGGCAGCGCCATCCCTTCACGACTGAACATCGCCCCTTCATCTTGCACATCTGCCTCCTCGGGCGCAAAAGGTCGAGTGCGGAAAGCCAGCGGTCGTTCGTCCGCGAACCCTTGAATCTCATCCTCCTGCACGCCCTCCTCCATCATCTCCTGCTCCCCCTCCACACCCTCATCCTCCTCACCACCACCACCACCACCACCACCAGCAGTACTACCCGAAGGAATCCCTCTCATCATATCCCCCGCCCTATTAGACCCAGCTAGTCGTCTCCTCTGCCAATCCCCCACAATCATGCGGAAAGCATCACTTGATCCCCTTTCTTTGCCCTGAACGAAGAGTCTGTTGTTGCGCACGCTGATGCTGCTTGCGTGGTACTCTAGCCATGCGTACGCCTGATCGATTGTATAGGCAGAGGGACGCTCGCGGTCGTAGTCCGGCTCGGGGATTGGAGGTCTGTATTGCTTTTCTTGTTGCCTCGTGGTAAGGATAGTCGTTGCGTCGGTCGCTGCATCCGGATGGGCTGTGCTTAAGGTACTGGAACCCCGCTTGCGTTGGATCGCCATTGATCGCCATTGTCCCCCGCCGTATCCATCGCCCCTCGTCATTCCCTAGACTCAAATCCTCCAGGCGAAGATAAAGCCGAATACGCCAACACTCCATCTCACCAGCATCCTGACTCCTCTTCGCCCAGATCTTCAATCTCAGCTCTTGGAAATCCCGCGCACAAGTCTCGATCAAGACGCACAACGCGGTTCGGTGGTTGTAGTCGATGTTTTCAAGACCGTGTCTGGCAAATTCACTCCATTTCTCGATTAGCAGGCGGTCGTCTTCGTCGAGTGGGAGGTCGACGCCGTTGTTGAAGCGGCCGAGCTAGGCGCAGGCTGTTAGTTCGAGAGCGGAGGTGAGGTCGGCAATGAGGTAGTCGTTGTGGTAGAACTGGAGCCGGGTCGGGGCTGGGTTATGGATTTCTGGGGTTTTGGGAAAGAGGAATGTGTTCATGAGCTGTTGAGCAGCGGTGTCGTTGATGGTATCCGCTATGATGTCGGCCATGTTGTCGCTGGTGTCTTGGGTTGAGCAGTCTGATGCTGGAACGTTGTTCCGTCTACGGGACGGTCGCATTTACTTACGCAGTAAACCTAACTTTTCGACCTTCGAGGAATCTTTGATTTTTTGTGCAGTTGGATCTGGCGCTGCGATGCTTGTATGGCGGGTCATTAGCGAAGGGCGACAAGCATGGGGTGTCGTACCATCTCACCTTACCTTCAGGAGCAAGCCTGTCAGTTCTCGCTCCGACCGTCCCTGTCTCTGCATGGCGTAGCCTGGTTGCAGTAATACATAACGAGCATGAATCCTAGGCTCCAGGTAAGCAGCATAGTTGCCACGCTTCCGGGCCTTCTTTAGCAGAATTTGAGAAAGGCAATGCTGAGATGGTTTTCAGCAGGCTTTATTTCAGTGAGCACTAGAGCACCTTTCATGTAACCTTTCCATTCATGATCTCTACCTACTGTACAAGCAAGCACCACACCCGCTGCATGGGTTCGAACGCCTCTGCTATGCTTACAACTCTACCGCACTACTCACTCATAGATTTGTCAGGTAGTCCTCAATCTCCGCCGGCGACAGCGTCCGGAATCGTGGACCTTGTGCGCCTGCCACCCCCTCGTAGCCGAGCAGATCGTCTGCTGGTGGGCCGACGATGCCTGTGAATGAACAAGTCAGTATAGATCATATCCTTCCCGCTCAGCATGCGGTATGGAGGTGGAAGGGCACATACCAATCTCCACCGTGTCACCATTCATCTCCCCCTCAATCGTCTCCTTCAGCGTCAAAAGCGCAATGTGCACCGCATCCTCCAGCTCCAACCCCTCGGTATACCGCTTCTCCAGGAACGTCTTGGCGCTCGTCGCACTCTTCCCAATTGCGGTGGCCTTCCAGGGAAAGTACGACCCGGAAGGATCGACTTGGTAGAGACTCGGTCCCCCTTTCAGAATCCCGCCAGTCTTGCCGGATTTATGCTTCTCGGTATCCACATCCATGCCTCCTTCTCCTCCAGCCTTCTTCTCTTCTTCCGGCTCAATCCCTTCGTCATACCCTGCCACGAGCAAACTCACACCATACGGTCGCACACCTCCGCTCTGCGTCGCCTCCTGCATCACGCGCGCTACGTCTTGCACTAGTATCCGGGTGGGAGGGTATTCGTTGTAGATTCTCTTGTAGCCGGTGTGACTGACTTTTCGCGCTTTATCCACCAACACCCTGTAATCGGGTCCCATGCCGGAATAGACCATGCCGATGTTCGGGGTTATGAGGGAGATCTTGGAGGAGGAGGCGGAGTCGATGAGAGGCGTGCTTGACTTCTTTTCGGTGGCGAGGACGATGCCGTTGGCTGCTTTGATGCCGAGGCTGGTCACGCCTTGGTTCACTGCATTAAGTGCATATTCTGGGGAGGATGTGTTAGATTGCGATCACGTGGTAGAATTACGTGGAGATGTACCTATTTGGACCAGCTTGCCGCTGTCAAGATGTTAGTATAGCGATAAGATTGTCATCATGCGACAGCCATAGCATACCTGGGCGAGAAGGTGGTGAGGGAGAAAGAGTAGCGGTCGGCCATGATGGGCCTGCTGTCGTGGTGTGATGGAAGCTTATCTTGACTTCCGAGCTGAGTACGAGTATGTCGATTGAAGATGGGCGATGAGTTGAGTGAGGTTGTGTATCTGGGCCGAAGTGTTGAAGTTGTGCTACAGTATCTCTTGACCTCACATGAAGCTATGCTCAGGCAAACGCGCAGACGCGGAAGCTCTTACCTCCAGAGTTGACGATCGATCGGAGCGGAGAAAGTTGATCTCCGCTCACCGAGGAACAGATCGCTTCACCTTGCTTGCTCTGTCATGACTTTGCTCTACCGCATCATAAGGACAAGAGGCTTGGGGTTAGGCACCTGGCTTCTTGGAAACCATGCGGGCAGCTCTTGCCTGTTTGTCATCCGCGCCTGCCGCACGTGAGCTTGGCTGAGCGATATACGTAATTTTTTGACAGCCATTATTCTTCTCACTCATATCAGTACCGCCCACCGATCCTCCATAACACTCTGCGACGATGGCCTCTCACAGCACAGGCTCCAGCTGGGGCTTCCCGGACGATATACCAGGTGGCTGGAGCCAGGATGACATCGATGCGCAGCTCCACCACGAGAGTCCACCCAAGAACGAACCCAAGACTGAGCCAGGCATCAAGACCGAACCAACTTCGGACGAGCACGGACAGCCAATTGGTACTCATCCACCCCAACAGCAGCAGCGAAGACACTACTCCCCCCGCACCTGCCGCATCTGCCTCGACACCATCCTCCCCACCTTCCACAACAACGAAGACGGCACAGCCGCCTCCCTCCTGCCCGAAGCCATGCGACCCGCCCCCCGCGTGACCTACGAGTCCCCCTTTGGAGATGGCGGCCGCCTGATCCGCCCCTGCAAATGCAAAGGCAGTCAGAAATACGTCCACGAGGAATGTCTCGGTGCTTGGCGGAGACAGGATCCCCTGCAGAAGAGGAATTTCTGGCAGTGTCCCACTTGTCGGTATAAATACCATCTGCAGCGTCTGACGTGGGGACGGTGGTTGAGTAGTACTGCCTCTCAAATCGCGCTCACACTTCTAATATTCGTGACGGCTATGTTTTTACTTGGCTTCGTGGCGGATCCGATCATAAATCTCTACCTTGACCCCGTAGAGACAATCACGACCGCTGGTGGGCCGACGGGGAGTCTAATCTACGACGACGAACCGGCTTCGTGGATCGAACATTTCATCAAGGGTCTCGCTTCCCTAGGCCTACTGGGTTTCGCCAAGTTCCTACTCACGTTATCACCATGGCATTGGTTTAACATGAGGAATACGGGACTGGGGCTGGGCGGGAGGAATAGCGGGATGGGGAATAATGGCCGCGATCGCTTGCAGGGTCTGAGCTGGATCGCGATTGTGATTGGGGTTGTTACCGTCATGTTTGCGGTTTGGAAGGGGGTGCGGTTGTGGTCGCGACGGATGTTGGAGAGGGCGGGGGAGAGGGTGATGGATGTTCCGGGAACGGGAGAAGATGATGGTGATGATGATGATTGATGCATGTATGTTGGAGAACACGGATGAACGAATGTTTGAACATGGCCCTCCTACCAGGCCAGGGGCTGCTATGCTCACCTCTTTCTCAGCTCCTCCTCCCTCCTCACATCCCCATTCTTCGCCTAGTTCCCCTCACCACCCGTCTCTTAACCACCTCCGCTACCCACAATATAAAACCGCAGCACTTAAGTTACCACACCCACCCCTCACCCGGGCTCCCATGGCGTGGCAATGTGTCAATATGCGAAGATCGAAGTGTCTGCGACTGAGTTACTATCGAGCCCCGAAGCGTTATGCTGACGGGCTTTTTTGAGAACGCCGGTCTCCTTTTTTTGGAAACCAAATGCCTGTTTCTCGTATGCACTTCTCACTCTTCTGCTCCACTGGGAGAGAGGTCCAGTACTATGGATGTGGGTGGGAGGTTGCTGAGATCGCCTCTTCGGAGGATCAAGGGGGGTTTGGTACATACTTTTCTTCATTCATGATATGGTGCGTTGCTGTCTGAATGAGGGGAAGAAGTCAGGAGGCTAAGTAAGCAATACCCATTCCATCAGCACAAATGTCATCCTTCATCACCCACCTCGCCCTCTTCTTCCATGTGGGAAGCACGGCACAACATCTTCTATGCTCTCCACCATTCCCGCCCTTCGAGCTGTGCTTCAGAGGGAGTGGCGAAGTCTCAGGGCTGACTACAACCCTACCCAGTCACTGAGTCCCCAGGTCAGGATCTCACATTGGAGCACTGAACGATCTCCGTCGAAACAAGGGGCAAGAATTGCGGCGCCCGCATACGAAAGGACCACGTCGTGATAATTACGGTATGCTAAGTACAAGCACATCGGATCCATTGGACGGCCTTGCCCAGGAATCAGGTCTTTCCGGAAGTCGCACTGCATCAACGAGCGCAACGAGATGCCGGCACGTCGTGATGCTGATGGAATGAGTATCGAGAGGACGAGCTGATGATTCACTTATACCTGTCCTGCAGTCTATGGTGCGGGGCTTCTGCGGCTGAACACCCTTGCCAGCCGTTGTGCATGATCCTCCCGCATACATGTCCATACCTAGGTACATCTACTTACGCTTTCCGCTTTGGCTGACCTGGCCGTCTGCCTCGTCATTAGTTGTCCACAGTAGAAATCTCACGTACAATGTGGAATGCACTGGTGCTAGCAGCGGCTGTAGGTCACAGTGTTGCGGTCTATGCATCTCCTACATGGCCATACAACAGTGGTGGACAGTACGCTCCGCAGACGGCTGAGACGTACGCTTCACGGACATACTTCTATGCTGGCGGAAGATACATCAATGCCACATTGGTCGGTTGACGGCCTCCATCTACTTGTAAGATACGATGTTGCTGACGATTCAATACAGCCTGGCAAGAACACATCCTCACAGTACATGGTCGGGCAGATCTATGTGGAGCGCCTGCAGCCTGCTCATATCAGACACAAGTATCCTCTGGTCTTCACTGCCGGCAATGGGCAGACTGGATCTGTAAGTGCAACCACACCGGCGAATAGTGAGAAATTCTCGCTGATATCGCTCTTTTTAGAACTGGCTGAACACTCCAGATGGTCGCGAAGGCTGGGCATCGTACTTCCTACGCCAGGGCTACGAAATCTATCTCACCGACCAAACACTCCGCGGTCGCTCGCCCTGGCTGCCTATCCCGGGAGGCCCGGACTCGGGCAATGTGACGGCTTACAGTACCACGCAAACCTCTTCATTATTCACTGCTCCACCGGCCTTCGATCCGCTACCATATCCGCAAGCAGTGAATCATACACAATGGCCTGGTACTGGTCTCCCAGGCGATGAGATCTTTGATGCTTTCTATGCTAGTCAGCTGCAGACGGTTTCTTCCACGGCGCTCGTGGCGAGAGATAATAATGCTTCGTACACTGCTCTCTTAGATCGTATCGGCGCCGCGGTCGTGTTGACGCATAGTCAAGCTGGTTCCTTCGGCTGGCAACTAGGCGATGCCAGGCCGAATTTGGTCAAGGCCATCGTCGCTCTCGAGCCTTCGGGACCGCCCTTTGCGAATTGGCTTGGGGCGCCTTTTCCACCGGATTATCAAAGTAATGAGATGCGACCTTATGGTCTCACGATCCTGCCTCTAGCGTACGCGCCCGATGTCGGAATGAACGCTTCGCTCTTGTCGACAGTCACGATACCGGCGAGAGATAACCAGAGTGCACCGTGTACGCTCCAGGCCGCGCCAGCCAAGCGATTGGTGAATTTGGGAAAGATACCAGTACTGATGTTGACGAGTGAGGCGAGCTATCATGCCGTGTACGATTACTGTACTGCTGCTTATCTGCAGCAAGCTGGGGTCAATCTGACGTATGTTGATCTGCCGGAGGTGGGCATACATGGTAATGGGCACTTCATCTTTCTGGAGAAGAATAATCTGCAGGTGGCTGAGGAGGTTGTGATGCCGTGGTTGCGCGGATGTGGATAGCACTGTGCGCGAATCGTAGAAATTTGCATTCCCGCTGTTCACTGCTTGTCTCGACCATAGCCATTGCGCTCTGTGGTGAATGAAATGGCACGGTAGGTCAAACACCGACTCGTAGGAACAATGAGCAAGTTCACATAGTGTAAATGGCTGCTTTGCAGCGTGCATGCTGCAATGATCTTCAGCTTCCTACTCTGCGTGGAGAGTGATCGGTTGTTGCCTATGAATGTGGAGGCTGCAGTCGCCGGGGCAGCGCGGAGGATGTGAGAGGCAATAGTGTGGAGGCTCTTGGCCAAATTTCTCGTTGTGGCCTTCTCGAAGAATGGCGTCTTGTGTGACGAATATACAAAGGCCTTTGCAGCCAAATCCCATCCCATCCCATCCGAAGCGCCGCGCCATGCGTTATGAATATGTTACAACATACCGTCATCTATGGCAGGCGATATTCTACGCCACCTGCGCAGCCATATCTCCCCTCGCCTGCTCCAACAACTCCTTCTCTCGCTTCACCCTGGCCCTCACCTCCGCACTCCTCGCGCTATCCCTGGCACCCTTCACCCTCTGCTCCTCGAGATCCTTCAGCTCTTCAATCTCTTCGGCGGTAGGTTCTACTGGCTGCGCTTTCGTAAGCTGCACAAGCTGTTCCAGGATCTCACTGTTGTTGCGGAGTTTCATGTCGATCGTTTGGACGCGGTCGGTGAGCTGGGCGTCTGTGCCGTCTTCTGCGGGTTGGGTGAAGTGGACACTCATGACTGCTGCGTCTTCGGCAAGAGCGGTTCGGTCGACGGTCATGGAGACCGCTGGGTTGTGGTATTTCAGCCGGATGAGTTCGTATTGCATGAATTTCCTGTGTATAAATAAGCAATCTACATCTTTCCTCATCGTCTCGTACAGCTGTATCGCTCACCTCGGACCCATATGCCCTCCTTCTATTCGTTTCGCAAAGCGCAGGTGGATTCGCTTGACATCTTTGGGTAGTATGACCGCTCCTGATCCGAGTCGAATAGCGAGGAGTTTTGTTTGCAGCTTTCGCATGCGTTGAGGTAATGAGACCATCTTTACAATTGAATACTATCGCAGGACCATTACATAACGCTCACTGAAGTCGAGATGGTGAAGCACATGTCAATGGGTCGTGATGCTTGGCATTTCCTGCGGCGAAGTCATCACCCCCGAGACGTACATCTAGCTTCACCACTGCTTAGGACGACGATATCTCGAATACCACTAGCAACCCATCATGGCCTCTCTACTCCGCCCTCGACCAGGCACCGTCTGCAAATGCCAACGCTCCTTCTCCACCTCCACCCCCCGCGCCGTCTCCCTCCAGCTGGAAAAGAACGACGCCGAAGCAGTCGCCGACACCGTCCCCGCCTACCCCTACGGCCCAGCAAGATGGTACAAACAATCCCGCCTCGGCCTCTACGGCGGTCAACGCATCCACTTCGGTAATAATGTCGGCGATAAGTTCGAGAACAAGACGAGACGGAGTTGGCATCCCAATGTGCTCGTACGAAAACTATTCAGCCAGAGCTTGGATCGACATGTGCAGGTGAGGGTCACGACGAGGACGCTCAGGACGATTGATAAGCTTGGAGGGCTGGATGCGTATTTGCTTGGGGAGAAGGAGGCGAGGATTAGGGAGTTGGGGGAGAGTGGGTGGTGGTTACGGTGGGCGATAATGCAGACGCCTGCTGTGAGGCAGAGATTTGCAGAGGAGAGGAGGGCGTTGGGTGTGCCGGAGGAGCAGCTCGAGGAGGAACTGGTCGAGGTTGATCCAGCACAAAGCGTGGTTGAGGAGGTCTCGGAGGCAGAAGAAGAAGCTCTAGCTGAGACGGGTGAAGTGGTGCAGATGGATGATGCTTTCCAGATCGAGCAAACGCCTGATCTAAAGCCCCTCAAGTTCCGTGTCTGTCCTGGCAAGCATATCTATCTCACATCTGAAGGCTGGCGACGCACACGACCCAGCCCGACACGTCTAGAGGACATCGCCATCTCGCGTCGACAAAAGATTCTTGAAGAGAACGTCATGCCCGAGCGCGAACGTGACTTTACTGCCGCTCTCCAGGCTCAGCAGCAGAGCCTGCCTGTTGCTCAGCGTTTAAGCTCGGAGGAGAGGACGAAGATGCTGAGGAGGGCGAAGAAGGAGTGGAGTCGGGAACTGGCTGTTCAGGCGAGGGAGGACTTCGAACAGCATGTCGCTGTGAGGGATCAGAGGAAGGTGGAGCGGAAGGAGGCGAAGAAGATGGAGATGAAGAGGGAGAGGGAAGAGAGGGCTAGGGAGATGGGTGTGGAGGCGGCGTAGATCTGCCGTCTGAGTACTTCCTATGCCTTTTCGAAAAGAATAACCACGTCATTCTTCTTCAAGCCTCTGGGAAAGGACTGTGACTCCCTCCCATCCCTGCTCGGTCTTCACAGTGACGTGCATGCTGAGCTGCTATCGAAGATGAACGAGAGTTCTGTGTACCAAGACATCCTCGGCTGACTACATTCTCGGAACAATCAAACAACACCCAAGGGTCTCCCAGTAACCTCTTGGTGCTCGCAGACGCGCAGTACGTGGAGCATCGTAGCCCTTGGGGTGACTTCTTACCTCTCTGTCATAGTTACGCATGGAAAAGGGGTATGCCTGAAGAGAAACGAGTGGCGTGGGTGGCGAAGGAGAAGGAGCCGAGATGGCCCTGTGAAGGGAGCGAGTGTTGAGGTTGCACTCGGCTTTATGGCGTGTGTGAAGGGGCAAGAGGAGATGGACATGGCTTGTGGGATGGTCGGGAGGTAGGACTCGGGGTCACTCAGGCTTTGATCTGCTTGACGGCGTGAGTGAAGGTGAAGTGCGGTCGGATCGGGAAGTCGACTTCAGTGATATGTATCTGACAATGAAGACGAGCAGTCATATCGTTCGATCCTTGATGCAACGCACCACATTGTGGCTGTCACGTGCGCCGTTGCTGCTGGTGACGAAGCTTTCCGTCTGCTCACGAAATGGCAAGAGTGAACGACTCGCGCCTTCCATATCTGCTTGTTATGATCGCACAGCAATTTCTTTCCCCCCACCAGAGCAGAAAATCGGTTATCATGCCTTCGCCGTGACACCTTCGACCTTTCTCCAAAGTTCGACCCCCTACACGACTCTCACTGCACTCACCTAACCACACCCACCCACTCACCCGCAGTGATGGTCTACCTCGATCCCACTGAAAAGCTGTATACCACGCACCGCCACGAGGAGATAGCCGATGAGGAGAAGGCCGAGCGCCTGCGTGATCCATGGTGGTATTACCTTCATCCTCCCTCAACGTCAGTCCCTCACTGCTAATGATGCCCCAAAGGTCTGCCGGCTCAGACGCGGACAGTATCCGTACCGTCGTCGAGGGGATGAACTGCCGCCGCCGTGCCAGTACCGACAGCGCTGACGACACTCGCACGGATTTCGGGCTGAAGCGTGCACTCGACAAGGTCGCCGGTGGACCGATGACTCTGATTGGTGACCGTACCATGAAAGACCAGATCTACCTCGAGGACGCCAATACTCGTCTCCAGGATCTCACCACCGAAATCGAGGGAAGGAAGGTGGAATACGAGCGAGCTCTTTCAGTCTACGTCGATGCTGACGCGAGAGCTAACCCCAGCAAGCACGCTGAGGTCAACCACGATTTCTTCAGGGCAGACCTCAAGCTTTCGCGTGCGCGGAAGGAGTACAACATCTACCTCGGCGAGCTGAAGGATTTGCACGACATGCCCAAGCATTCCCGCGATCACGTCTGGACTTATCACTCCGCTCCACGCAACCTGGGTTTCAAGCAGCGCTACGAGCACTTTGAGTACCATTCGGAAAAGCACAATCCGGATCCCCAGCTGGCGCAGATTGCGCAGCTCACCATTGATGCCAAGAAGCATGAGTCCATTGCTAATTGCCAGCTCGAGAAGCTGACGGCTGCTGAAGAGGATGTGGAGAAGCTCAAAGTCCTGGCTAAATGTCATGAGGCCGAGTTGGCGAAGAGCGCCACCATTCTCCAAGCAGAGGTTGACTTTCATGCCGATGGAGCGAAATTCTACATTGATTGCAACTACGATCTTCACGTGCAGATCCTCGATCTAGTGAAGCACATCGATTTTTTGAATGCGGAGCTCCGCGCCGAGGAACAGGAGCACAAAGCGTTGCGTCGCTTTATGATTGGTTACCATGCCAGCTCCAACGAAAACATCGAACAGGACCTCGCGTCTGCCCACGATGAGCAGTTCGCTACCGGCTACAGTACGTCTTGCCAGCTTCCTCGCAGATCCCAGCATTTTGACGAGAGTGTTCGTCACGAGGTGGCCTCGAATAGTCCCCAGGCTGACGATAATCATCTTGTAGCCAGCCTCACCAACCGAAAAGTCACTCTCAGCTACGGCGGCCCAACTGACGACAAAAATGGCGGTAAAGGCCTCGCCACCGTCGACAATCCAGCTAAGGCTGACCAGAGCCCAGGTCAAGGCTACATCGTCCTCAACTACGGCGATCCGCTCCCAGCTACGCGCTTCAACGTCGAGAGTCCCATCGCAACCTCCGTCGCTCACGCTGCTGCTTACGGCCGTGGTGAGAACGAGCTGTGCAACGTCTTCTGCGCTCCTTCGTCTACTGCTGGCGATACTGACGATGGCGGTGTCTCGATCTCTGACAACACCAACGACGACAAGGACAAGCGTGAGGGCAGCATCACACCCACTCCCACCAACAAGCGTCAAAACGCCTCTGGCTTGCTTAGCAAGGTCGCCAGTGTTCTGGACCTTCGTCGCTCCAAGAGCGTGCGCAGCATCCGTGGCGCCAAGATGGCCGCCAAGAGGATCTACAGTCAGATCGAGCACAGGGACATGGTCGACAAGCCGGCTGAAGAGGTCGTTGTCAATGAAGCCAAGAGCGTTGAGGAGTGCAAGTGGCACGAACCAGGTACGTGTGTTCTTTTCTCTTCTTCTTCTTTCCAGGCACACGGCAAGGTTTGTCAGAAGGTTGGGCAGGTCGGCAAGGGTGTAAGTGGTGGGCGATGATGCTTGAGATGCGGTGGTAAGTTTCGACCTCGTGAGCTGTAGATCCGAACAGATGCGAACTGATATCCAAGCAGGACTGTTGACTATTGAGCTGGTTGAGAGGGCTGCCGGGTGTTTGAAGCTAAGAGATTGCTGGGTTATGGGTAGGATGATGCTTTATGTGGGCGCATGAAAGCGTCTCTGAATGCTGGGTTCTGGGTAGGGTAATGAGTCATGACGGCGCATGAAAGCGTCTGTGGGCTATCATGGCGAAGGTAGGTAGCTGCATGCCACAGTCGACGCAGCTTTGCAGATCGGAATCGAAACGAATCTCCTCCTCTTCTTCTTCTCCATCTTCCTGTTCGTCTTGCCACATACTGCCGTTCGTGCCACCGCCGTCATGCTCGCCATCATTGATAATTTCTACCACGTTCGTAGGAGTAGCTTCTTCGACTTCATCGACCACTTTGATATTGGGATCTTTTGGCACATCATCCTTCCGCATGGATCTATCCCTGACTCTTCCATTCTCATGCGCACGGTGAGCCAGTCCTGTCAGCCTACTAGGAGGCACCTCTTCAACGTCATCCTCCTCGATGACCTTGAAATCCCTCAATACATCATCCTGTCTCCTCAACATACTCCCGATATCCCTCCCACGTGCAGTCTTGCTATCCCCGCCCGTTTCAGCCATATTGGTCACAGCTAGATTGACGAGACTAAGATTCCAGCCAGACTTTTCTGGGTGGAGCTTGTGGAACATTGACACAAGAGTCTCGCGGACGAGCTTTTCGGCTAGGATGTCGATGCTTTCGGTAAGGATGAAGACGAAATTGGGGACGGGCGAGGAATGGGAGATCCGCTTGAAGGATCGTACTCGTGTTCCGTCTGGTTGTAGAGGTTGCCGAGGACGAGTCGTGAGACGCAAGGTCTTTGGGTGAGCGAGCCACTTCTTCAGGGTCGATGTTGTTATTGTGGCTTCGTGACCACCATCTTCGACCCCGGCAGGCTCGTCAACACCGTCCTCCGCGAGGAGATCGATCCGCATACGTGCCAGTAGGCTCCGAGCCAACGTCGTCAGTTCCCGAAGGACTTCCGGCATCGTGTCCAGCCGAATGTAACTATCCTCTATACTGATCTGACTAGGCACAGGTTTCGCTTGCGCTACTTCCGTGTCGTCTATGCCGTGCAGGAGACACCAGATCTTATACCCGATTCCGTGAGGTGAACCAGGGCCGTCAAGCAGTTTCTCTAGCATTGCTGGGTTTACGCTGGACCGGTTGCGGACGTTGGCGACACTTACGATTTCGGGCTTCCCGCCATACACGAGGTCTGTCTCGTAGTCTGGCGGGCGCTGAGTGATGTAGCTGCGTAGGAGGGTTGCGAGCTTGTAGCCGATTCCTGGTACTTTGCCGATGCCGTGCGTATCCATGAAGAGCTGCGCATTCCCGAGTCCATGGTCAGAGGCGGCTAACGGTGGCATGACTGTCGTTTGGCCCTTGGGCTTGTTAAGGTTGCCGACGAGTTTTGACAGGAGTTTGCTGGTTGAGATTCCTACGGTGCTTGTGTAGCCTTTTTGTTGTTCGAGTGCATGGCGGATGTACAGGGCGAGGTGGCTGCCGAGGTGTAGTCGTAAGGTCAGACGGTCTTGCACGACAAGATCTTGTTGCTGGGACGTATATTCTACAGGATAGGGATGACCAGCGAGCGCGGTGGCGTCGAAGTTGAAGCCGCTCATTGGGTCGTCCTGAGAGGTCTGGAAGAAGGACTGGGCTAGGTTGTGAGGATTGAGTAGTTGCATGTTGTAGTCGACCATGTCCGTGACATCCATCCATACCTATCAATACGTTAGTGCCTGCCTTCCATGAGTTGGAACCATTGTATACCCACTTCATCAAAACCCAACCTCTCCACCTTGCCATTCCACGAATACGCCCTGATGAACTTGTACAACTCTTTACTCGCATCACGGAATCGGCTGATGTCCTCGCCCAGCTCGATGATCACATCGGGACATACTTTTCTCGCCTCACGAATCAACTGCAGCTTGTGTAGACCTCGTCTTCGGGCTTCGTAGTTGCATGTCACTATTATCTGTTTCTGCTGTACCGCGAAGGGCAGGCTTTTCAGGCTCGGGTTCTTGGCTTCGAAGACGGCGGCGTAAAAGCAGTCGTAGTCCTAGGAGGTGTGTTAGGAGAGAGTGGCAAGGTGGACGGTGTTCGTGCCTACGAAGTGAATGATTATCCTCCCATCTTTGCGAGGCGGCACCTTCCTGGTCTCCATGCTCTCCTCATCATGTCACGACTCCAGGCTTTGGGTGTATGGCTCTGATGATTGATTTTACACTTGAAGGGGCTGATAATTTTTCACACTGCCACTAACGCGAGAGAGGGAACCGCGACGTGCATATGGTGAGGTTGTCGTCTCTACTACGGTGGACTATTGCTCTGTTCATGCAGTGTCACTCTTCTGTGCCGTCTTTCGGCTGAGCTTCATTCATGATCGGCAAACGGATAGCACCTTGGTCTCAAAGCGCTCTGAGGTGATCATGAAAGACAAGCTCAAAGAAAGGGCTACTTGTACTGTATAAGGGCGGTAGTCAACGTGTTATGAAAGTCCCCTCATCCACCCTGTCCATCCTCAGCTCGTCCAGCCTCTCCCCACGTGGACACGACTAACATGCGGCCCTGTCGATCATGTCCTCAAGCTCTTCCTAAGCCTCCTCCAGGATCGCCTCTCGGCACGGTTCGACGTTACGTTGGCTGAGGCCGTACACACGCAACGAGAGGTGGTTTTAAGAATGCTTGTTCGCTCTTGTGCCGAGAGCGTCGCCATTGACATGACCTAGAAGCAGACTACAGCCAACCTCATTACTCTCGACATCACCGTAGCTCTCCACCCTCTACAAACAACATGTGGACCCTCTGTAGAACGGCAATCGTCTTGATTGCTACCGTAACATTTGCGACATCAGTCCTGCCCGTCTCGCTACCGGCTTGTCAGCTCACAGCCCCTACACAACAGAACATCACCGGTCACGTTGTCACAACAAAAACAGTCCTACCTGAAAACAATATGCCATTCGGCATAGTCTACGCTAATAGACAACCAGACACAGCATTCGTAGCCTTGAACAACAGCCTGGGAGTCCTGAGCTGGCTTTGCAAGGCGAGCTAAATAAGATCGGCGGTGTAGGTGGTTCAGGTGTGGCCTTGTCCCACGATGGCCGTTATCTCTTCGTGACGGCTTTCAGCGCTGGACTTCTTGTTCTCGATACAGCGAGAGCAGCTGTTGGACAGACAAAATGACTCCATTGTCGCGCTCTTGAACGGCACGGCCGCAGCTGGTAACACCGCTATCGAGGTCACGATCTCGCCTGACGATCGGTATGCGTATGTCTCGCAGGAGAACGGGGTAGAGACCGCCACGCTCGTAAACGGTGCCTACAGATTTGCTTCCCAACCAGGCAGGGTCGAGAAGTTTGCTCTGTATCCCCCGGGGAAGGGCTGTGAGGAGTGGGAAGGGTATACTGGCATATCGCTGGGTTTTATGTCCTAGGTGTAGCCGTTGTGGGTACAGCACTATCCCCGGATGGAATGTTGCTTTATGCTACTAGTGAGAACAAGACCACGGGTGATTATGAGGGATCACTAAGCGTTCTCTCCACCAGGAAGCTGAAATGAACGCAACAGACGCTCTTGTTGCCAAGGTGGATGCCGGATGTAGTCCTGTTCGTACGCTAATCTCGCCAGATGGAGAGGTTGTATGGGTGACGGCGAGGTCTAGCAATGCTCTCCTTGCGTTCAACGCGTCAGAGATCTTGACTAACGGCAACGCCTCACTTATCGCCTCCGTTCCAGTTGGCACGCAACCAGTGGGCTTGGCTTTCGTGAAGAATAATAGTAGAATTGTGACAGCGAACTCGGATCGTTCTACCGACCCTGATGCTGTCACGGGATTGTCTGTCGTGGATGTCGAGGCTGCTTTGGCTGGGGTGATAGATGCCAATCTGGGTCAAGTGGATACAGGTGCGTTTCCGCGGGAGCTTGCTGTCAGTGGAGATGGAAGGACATTGTTGGTCTCGGATTATTCTGCTGCTAGCATTCAGGCTGTAGATGTTGAGAGTTTGCCTTAAGATCTTGTTGATAGAGATGCCCTATGTACGATGCATCTATTTCTCTATATGGCCTATGGGTGCGTACTCGGTTGAGCAATTTTGCTAGAGCCAACCGACTACAGCATTATCGTGGTCGTGGTATATGGCACAACCAGCACATCCTGCACCAATCCGTACTCCTGCTCCAAGGGCTGTGGCCCGAGCCAGGTCGTCCCGCTCGATCTGATGCTCGCGTAAATCGGCCGCAGAACATTCCCAAGAGTTGTGCTCACCACGATCTCTATAGTGTTGCTCCCGTGGGTGAGCTGGTCGCCTATGTCTGCGATGGCATCTGTGGGGTCTAGGGGTGGCAGTTGTTGCCCATTCACCCAGACTCGTGCTGTGTGGACGACGGCGCCCAGACGCAAAATTGCGCCGTTTGCCGCGCTGGAACTGCTGTTGCGTGGCGGCCAGGTGAATGTTGTTGTGTAAAAGCCGCGACCAGAAGTGTTGCGTAAGGCTTCGGAAATCTGGTTCCACGGCTTCAGCCCGTCGAGAGTGTACGTGGTGTTTGACGTTGCGGCCTCGGTCTGTTGTGCATACGGGTCACTGGGGGAGGTCCAGGACTCGATTGTCAAATTCCAGTGGGTGAGATTGAGGGTTGCGGCGGTCGTTGGCAAGTGGATTGCTGTACCATTCGAAAGCAGGACTGGCTCGGATGTGTTGCTTGCTTTGAGGGAGCAAGATGTGCCACCGTATCCATGTTGACTTGAGGCACTGTACACCGTGTTCGGCAAAGAAAGTACTCTTGCGCTAGGCGAAGTCGTCTCGTTGTGGTGGAAGCCGACAATGATGCTTTGGTTGCCCGCTAGGTTAAATGGTATGGTTGTGCTTGTGTTGGTCTGCTGGTAGGCGATTATGGGCGAGGTATCACCAGTCCATGCATCGTATGTATAAGGGACACCGGTGTACTCAAACGTGACAGAGCCAGACGATGCCCCCTGGCCGAGCTCCGAATCATATGCATCGTTGTAGACGTATGCATAGGTTATTGAGTCGTTGGCATCTTCACGGACATACGTATACCAGATCCTGTCGCTGCTCACACTTGTCCTGGGCATGACCTTCAGTGCAGCCAGGGAAGCAGCAAGATTGTCATAAGGCACGATGTGCACATTATCCATCTGAGCGATTCTAGCAAGCTTCGAGCGTACGTACTCGGTGCCGCTTTGATTGTAGCCTACCAACTTCTCCGGTAGGCCTCCAGAGATGATGATGGGTAGACTGGATTGAGCAAAGTCTCCAAGGCGATCTACGCCGAAGACGGTCAGCGTGTCGTTAGCCCGGACAATAAGGGCCTTGAAAGCTTGACGAGCGGGCGCCAAGGTATCGTTACCCACGTAAGCTTCAGGGAAATTGAAGTTGTCTGGACTGAGGTACTCGTACGAGTATCCCGCTTTCTGTAGATCATCTGGCCAATACTGATTAGTGACCGAGAAGTACTCATCAGACTTCAGCCAAAACGCTAGGTCAATCTTAGGTATGCCACTCTGGGCAACGTATTGTGTCCGTGCGATCCAGTTCATAAAATCGTCGTAGTATTCCCACGCCGGCTGTCTTGGCCCATGCATGTTCGAGAAACGGTATGTGAAGGTCGAGAATCCTGGCCAGGTGGTGTTTGGATATGTGCCGCTGAAGGGATAGCCATGCAGAACAAATTGATTGACCGACCCGACGATACTTCTCTTGATGTCCCAGATGAGTTCGGGAAGTGTCTGACTGTAGACTTCATTACGTTGCGCTCCGAGCTCGGAGGATATGACACGTTTGCCGGCTAGATTTGCGGGACCAGAGTACTGGCGATAGCCATCGATGAGGTGGTTGAAGCCCAGTGACTCACATTCGGGTGCGTTAACGTGTGGCACGTTGGCTAGCATATCCATGGGCAGGTTGTACACGACTTGTGCAGAATACTGAGACTGTAAAGAGCTTGTGCTCCAATTCGTGAAGACATCGAGATAAATTTGGTTTAATTCGGTGAGCTAAGTAGGTTAGCATGATGATTTTGCTGGCAAACGTGTGAAATGATAAGGTACGCACTGTTTGCCAGTAGTCATTGATATAGCTTTGACCCTGATCGCTCTCATCTGTATAATAGTGATCTGGGCTGGCGAGCGGCGCCGGTGCTTCATTGTTAACCCGATAAATCAAAGGAAGATACTTGGTCAGATCATAGCCTCGTTGTGCTTCGAACGTTCTCAGCAGATTTGGCGTCCACCATATCAGGGTTCCAGCACCGAACTCTTGGCTGTCCTCCCAAACGTAATTACCAACCTCTTGTATAAGTTCCTTTGAGCCGTTGCCCAGTAGATAGTTCTCCCAGAAGTCAATCACAAGCTGTGCACCCGTGGAAGAGAAATGATCGACGACCCAGCTGCCGTTCTCACGGAACTCTGTTACTGGCGACTGAGGCACACTGGTGTTGACGTACCATGGCGGAGCTTGCTCGTGGTAGTTGGTTTGGTTCTGGTAGTAGGCGAAGACTTGCCACTCGATGCCAGTGTTGTTTGATGGGGGAAATGTAATACTAACATGACCGGTGGCATTATCGACTTGTTGGGTGATGTCCTGTAACGACGCCACAGAAACTGTGAGGTTATTACCAGTGTAGTTGTGTCCAGTCCAGGCTGGTGACGCCGAGAAAGTTAGATTACCCTTCTGATTAACCACTAGACCAATAGTTGCAGCGACGAACTCGCCACCCTCGATTTGTCCCCAGCCAGGGACTGTGCCATTGAAGCATTGTCCAAGGGGCACGGAAGTGTTGAAGGGCCAGAGGTCCCACATGATGCCAGGATCGTTTGTCTCAGCTGGCACACCAGCACCCTGGTTCGGGCCAAGTGCGAGATCTATGATCATCCCATTATCTTTGGTCGCCCTCAAGGCGGTGTCTTGTAATGTCTTCCACGCATCAGTGCCCCAGCCATATTTGGTCCAGTCTACTGGAATCGGTCCACCTTCGGCTACGCCCGTCGGGAAGTCCCCGTAGAGGTAGTATCCAAGTAGCTCGAGGCCCCCCATCCCGACCGCTTTGACCGTAGCGAAATCTGCAGCTACATGGCTGAGGTTTACACTGGCGTCTGGGATCCAGTAGCGAAAGCGCGGTCGGACGTGGACTGATGGATTCTGGAAAGAGCCATAGCTGATATCAACACCCACTTGATCGTTGGTGTTGTAGCTGACTCCAACGTCGATCAACGCAGCCAGACTTGCAAGGCGTTCGACGGGAAATCGCATCTTTAGCTGCACGGAAAGCTGAGGTAGCGGCTTCCGTGCTGTGTACCTCCGTCCAAGGCATCTTTTGTAGTTGCGCTCGGCATACTATGTTCCATCTCGTCGCTTCCTCGCGGAGATTGTCTCCGCACTGTCGTATTTTCTTTCATTATGCGGGGTACCAAGATGTCGATCAAACGATGAACCTTGGGAGGATTCATAAGACAAGACAAATTGAGCTCAGCCCCCTCGGCCTCAGATGTCCCGCTATGTTTATACTGAGCAGAACAGGCCACGGCACAGATAATAATGGTCGTGCCGACGTCGGCGTGAAGACCAGTTCCCTTCACAAGCAACCGAAGCAAGCGTGGACTGGGGTCTGGCTGATTTAACAGGTGAAGTAGATTGAATTTGTGGACCGGAGCCTGCGCGAGATGTCCTCACAAGCGGGAACCGCGGACTCTTTCCTAAAGACCATAAGAGGTACGAAGTATTACGAGCCGAAGGACAAGCCGGACAACGTCGTCCTTCAGACTCGACATGACACGCTCCAGGGGTCCCAATTGGGATCGGACTTCATTGCGCCTTCGTCGTCGGCACGCGCGTAATGCATCACATCGTATGCGGGTATCTTCGACCGAAAGAATCCAGAGAGTCCGAGGGAAAGTGCGTTGGCTTATCATGACCTTGATCAATAGTGCGGTCGATCGTGGCTGGGGAGAGTATCGCACACATTGTAGCTGCTATAGAACGGATAGTAATAACCTACAGCGCTAATAACCATACGTAGGGGAGATAGAATTAGAAGATCAAATATACGCTTGATTCGATAGGGACCTTGCGTCTGAGGATCATCAGGGTTGGGCCTAGTTGTTAGGAGGCTGAAGACTACAAGATCGCGCCAAAGGCAACACGGGCTGCTTAGCGGACCTTGGAATGTCCAGCAACGCGGGAGAACGGTGTATCATCAGAACGGGGACTCACGACGTGTGAAAGTTTGACAAGATCCAGTGCATTTGTATCTTCAACATTAACAGTGTCTTTTTGCCCTGCCAATATTATGCGCGAGAGTACTAGCGGCAAGTCAGACGACTTTCATAGACTCAACCCATCGACCATCCCCCTCAAAGCATCTCCGCTTGCAATATACGGTTCGTGAATCTTTGCGTAAGTCATACCAAGCTTGATACAATCGGCTGCTTTCTGGCACTTGCAGCGCTTTAGTGATCTCACCGAGACCAGTCTCTTCCAATCCGATTACTTGCTCGGCTAGTTGCGCTTGCTGTGGCCCGTACCATGGCCCTTCCTGACTCTTGCACTTGCGTAGAAGGGTTGCTACGTGCCGTCGGAGGAAAGGATCACGGCACTTCATGGCTGTAAGGTAGAGAGCTGGTATTACTCCGACGTCCAGAGTGGAGGCTGGAGTGTCTTTGTCGACTGTGCTGCCCATGGCGACAAAGTCTCCTGCGCGGCATAAAAGCTGCGTAAAGTCCTCGTGAAAGCTGTCCCATAGTGATTCATGACCGTTGCTGAGGCTGTTTGATACTACTAGTTTGCAGCTTAGACGTTGTACTTGAAGGGCCTTTGCCGCTTTCCGGTCTTGGTCGGAGGAGAGTGTCAACCATAGTGTATCCATTGATTGTTGCCAACGAGCGAGGGAAAGGAGCTGTCGGGTGAGCTGGACTTGGAGATTCGCATGCACATCGGCTGATACGCCTTCGGAAGGGAACATGTGTTCTTTGACCGCTCGCGTGAGCTCTTGCATAGCTGCCACTAGAATCTCGAGGAGCTGACACGCTTCTTGAACATTGCTGAAAGGCGATAAGGCGGGGAGCTGTGGCATGATCGCATGTTCTGTAGCTGGTACAAGCTGTATCTGTCTCGAGGTGTACAGGCAGGTCTGAATATCGAGTCGTTCGAAGGCTTCCTTGAGGGGCTCAAGGGGTCGCCTTGATGAAGTTGAGGACTTCTTTGACGCAGGGCTGACCTCTTTGATCAACTCGATCCCACTTTGCAGATGTATCAACCCCATCTCCCAATTGTGCTGCTGGAACTCGAAAACGACGAAGAGGAGACATGCCACGAGACAAAGCTGTGCTGATGATCGTTCTGGTCTCATCATACCGCAGCGCAAGGTATGCACGGCTTTACCGTAGTGTTGCAATGCCAACTCTTGCAGGTCTGCCCCGTCGGCATGATGTCTGTAAAGCTGGAGACAACCGAGCGCAATTACACCGTGTCTGACCAATGACTCTGATGCTGCTATGGGCAGAACGTGGGAAGACCACACGCGGCTATCAAAAAGTCCGACGAGGCCCTGCAGGACATGGCTCTGGAAGGAAAGAAATGCAGATTGCTCTCTATCCGAGTGGTAAGGCAGTTGCAAGGCCGGTTGGGTCCACCTTAGTCGCGTACCATCACGAGTGGTAGTGATAGGCTGTGCTATACGGATGATCTCGTAGCCACTGCATCGTCTGTGGCTGGTAACGCATCGTTGGCAACTAGGCCGGCTTTCCTGGACACGAGGTAAGATTAGAGGGCAGCAGCTTTGTCCCTCACATGGACACACTTACGTCACATTTGATGTGCCGGGCTCTTCGGAGTATCAGCATCAGCCATCAATTGCATGGAATGGTAAGCTATGCGTACTTGCATGTCGTGCAGCCGCTCCTTGCTTTCTTACCAGACTGCCTCTTGTATGCCATGACTGACTCTAGAGGTGGCGTGAGGAGCCTTTCGTCTGATCAAGACTGGCATAGCGTGATACATTAGGCTGGATTCCAAAATGTGAATTTTTCAAAGGAAGCGTATGAAGAGCACGTTCATCGGCGTGCCCGACTTTGCGCGTCGAGCGATCTTCCAGCGAAGAGGTTGCTGCACCATGTGGTCTTTCTCGGACTCATGGCTCTTGACAGCCGTTGACGTATGCTCCCCCTTGAGTGAGGTGAAGTTTGTGGTGTCGGCGGCTCGGGACGTAGCCAACAACATTGCGCGCTCTAACCATAAATGGACAAAATTACGACTCGTTCATCTGCTCCCTGCGTCTCTTCCTCAAACCATCAATGAGCATACTCCGCCTCATCCATAACGTAACCCCAAGCTAAGCCAACGAGGATCAAGACAGCAAGCACGGGAGAATCTGTTGTGAACCTTGTCGCCATTCCTCAAGCGATGATTGGCAGGAGCCCGTTGGTCAATCCCTGCTGGGCGAAGGAAGTCCCGCACCGCACATGTGGTGCTAAGCCCATTTATATGTCCGTGGCCACTGTCAACCCGTCCCCTGTGCGCAGTCCACAAACCTCGTTGGAAATGAATCGACTCTCATCCTTCGGGACGCATCTGTATAAGCGTTGTGTCCAGCTTTTAGGAGATGCACGAGGCCGGTGGGCATCAACGAAGTCCGCTACATGGGTATAAGTATTGCGAAGCCTCCTTAATCCTCTCGCACACGACTCGATCTATGAGTGCCCAGTGTAACGTTCTGCAATGACTACACTCCTGCTGCTGCTTGGCCTTTTAGCCCTCCCGCGCGCGACTCTCGCCCAATGTCCGCCTCTTGGCTCCACACTACCTATCGCCCTGAATCTGGCAGCTGACCCTGTCGTACAGTAGACCATCGTAGGTATCAACGACACCCTACAAAACCTGGTCGGCAATCTCAGCGGAACCGCCTTCACCCTCGTGATGGGCACGACGAACGACGATACTCCGCTGCTCACTTTTGCCAATAATCCCACGGTCTACAACACAACCGGAGCGCAAATTCTCACCACGGATACCCAATTCATCGTTGCCAGTGTCTCGAAGCTCTTCACGGCTTACGCTATGAAGCTGCTATCTAACAAAGTTGCCCCCACCGATCGTGTCACCAAATTTATCCCTGAACTGCTGCATCTCAAGGGTCAGCCCGTGCGATACGACGGCATCGCTTCTACAAATTGGAGCAGTATCTCCATCGAGGCACTCCTCACTCATCTATCAGGCATCACGAGCGACCTGGGCGATTCAGATATCGACAATACACCTGGCAATCACAGTGCGCTCGGCCTCCCACCGCATGATGCCACCGACAGTGGCACCCAGTGCGGCGCCGCCTCCAATCCTTATCAACGAGCTTGCACCGAGGCGGACTTCCTTAACGACTGGGGTAGGAAGTTCCCTGTATACGCTCCCTACACGACACTTGTTTACTCTAACATGGGTTTCGCGATCCTTGGTCTTGTGATCGGAAGAGTCACGGGGTCATCCTATGCGCAGTTTATGCAGAAAGCTGTCTTCGATCCTTTGGGTTTGGATCATAGCTCCGTCGACCATCCTCTGAATCTAAATGGGACTTTCATCACACAGCAGACTGCCGATGGTGATCTTTCTGAAGGCTTCCTAGCACCGTAAGTTTGGTATGGAAGACTTCAGCTCACATGATCAAGGACTAACGTCGCATCTGCCTACAGCTCCGGTGCCATCTACTCCACCTCCTCCGATCTCTACAACTTCGGCCGCAGCATCTTAGCAAGCAAGCAGCTTCCATCAACCACTACTCGTGCCTGGCTCAAGCCAAAAGCTTTCACCTCTTCGGCTGGTACATTTGTAGGTGAAGTCTGGGAAATTGCCGCGGGCACAGATCTCACGGCCGCGAGCGATGGTCATATCGTCCACGTGTATACGAAGGGCGGCAACTTGAATCTGTACAGCTCTATCATTGCACTCGTACCAGACTACGACTTCGCTTTTGCGCTTACGAGTGCGGGATCCGAGACGGGCTCGGGGACTGTTGAGGCAGCTTCGAGTCAGGTTCTTGATGCGATCGTGCCTGCTCTCGAGGCAGCGAACAAGGCTGCGGCGAAGGAGAGGTTTGCTGGCACATATTCTGCAGGTGGAAACAGAATCACTCTTCCTGTTGATGAGGAACCTGGTCTGCTCGTCACAAAGTTCTCCGTCAATGGGGTTGAGAGTGTCATCGACGCTGTCGGCGAGTTCACGGCGAACGCATCGCCTGGGCAAACAGAGTTGCGTTTGTACCCCACGGATCTTGCAGAAGGTGCTACGATGGCTTGGCAGGGAGTATTTGATTCAATCCCTGCGGATGTGGCGGAGGTAGAGAATCAAGCATTCTTTTGGGCAGACGCTACTTGTCAGAGTTGGTCGGAGTTGACCACCAACAGTTATGGCTTGGCACCGTTGGATCAGTTCCTGCTGACTGCTACAGTAATGGCGATGGGAGGGATGTGGAGGTCACTGCTCGGGCTTGGCGGACTACTATGACGAGAGAGTGAGAGTGGGTGCGTGAGGTCTCAGTCGTGCTAAGCCAATAGTTGCTTGCGTCTTGACTGCTCACTTTGCTTGGAGTGTGTATTCGTGAAAAGTTCACTAATGCTGGGCTTATTCGATACCAAGCGTTTGCTTAATAATGGGCGGTGGTTTTTCGGACCCTGACGTATCAAAGGCCGAATGCCGAAGTCTCGGCCACGAATTCGTGCTCAAGTTCTCACCTTGAGAGCAGCGTCGTTTGTCAGCAACCTAGAGAGTATCTGGCTGATACGGCCAAGGGTGGCGCGATGCCATCGCAATGATTGAGGACGCCTGGTCGTCTGTCTATCTTCATTGCCAAGCTCACTGAATATCGTTTTTTCCCAAATTACTTGGACACTATGCTCAATTGCACTTCAGACAATGTCGCTTCTACGGTCGTGTGAGTACTGTCGCTCGCACAAGATCAGATGTCTCTGGGACGCAACTTCCACCACATGCACCCAGTGTCTGAAGAGGGACCAAACCTGCAAGAGGCGTGAGACTGTCCGGCAGCGTCACACCACCAATCGTGCATCGAGACCTGACAAAGACATCGAAGGCTCGCTCTCGACGGGAACTCAGCTGGGTGGACTTGGTCAAACGTCGACTCAGGCTCTTGAAGCAAGGCTTGCACAGCTCGAGGAACGCCTCTCGAGTCTGGATGGCAATGCTGCTTTCCAGCCATTTGCAAAGGAGGTAACTAACAGTACTAGCTCGGTGACTAAGAGCTCTGCACGTCCTGCGACGCATGATGACCTAGCAGCGACGATATACGAGAGCTCGACGCCCTCTGGTACCGATCATGCGGCCACATTCTCATTCCTCGCGCATGGAGACCCGTCAGGCATCAGACAATGGTCTATTGAAGACACAGCAATGCCGATAGGTGTACCGTTGAATCGCATGAATGGCTTGAACAACGGTAAATGCTATCTCCCACCAGCGGAAGAAGCATCATCGTTACTCAAAGAATACCTCCACGAGTGCAACGCGAAGATCCCGCTCATAGCTCCGGAGTACATCATACGACACGTACGTGACTGCTACACTGGTATAGCAGACGGCTCACCTATATCATGGGTCCTCACCTACATGATATTCGGGATGGCACATCGCCTTCGTGCCATGAGCCTGTTTCAAGTCCCTGATGACACATCAAGAGCAAATTGGTATCTTGACAAGTGTCTCGAGACGCTACCACGATTATTGATGCAGGAGCCGTCGCTCCGACTCGTGCAAGCGCTGCTAGGTGTGGCGATCTTACTGCAGACTTCTTCTCGATACAAAAGAGCGACATTATTTGTCTCCACAGCCATGCACATGGTACAGGATTTGGGTTACGATGATATTGGGATGGCCGATGAACATGATTTGGAGCAGAAAGAACAGCAGTATGTGTTCTGGATCACCTTTCTTATGGACACGGACATGAGCTTCGCCTCTGTACGGCAGTGTAAGCAGTCTCTGACAGAGATCAGCACTTCACTACCTGACGCTCGCCGTAGCGACTGGTGGGCTCGTGGTGCGCTGGAAGAGCAAAATGATGTGAACGTTTTCGCTCTACATTCTCGGTTTGCCATCTTGCAGGCTGGCATTCTCGAACGACTGTTCTCAGTTCAGTCTCGGCAGCTGTCTGATGTTGTCTTGGACAGTGCGTATTATGACGCCTTAGATCGCTTGGAGCAATGGCGTCGCTCGAGTTTTGTCTTCAATCTAAGTGCTTATAATCTGCATCAGGGTCTATATCGCTCTGATATCGTGCATCTAGTGGTTCTGGAGACTGCATACTTCCGCACGGTATATCAGCTTCGAGTTGCATATCTAATGGGTTGGTTTCGTAAGCATATTGATTCTTTCTCAGTCAGGGCTATGGAAGTGATGGCCAGATGTGACGTTCCGGAGGGGTTCTGCAAGGACGCGAGGAGAGTACTAGAGCTCAGTGGACTGGTCTCTGGGGCGAACACGTCCATCACTTGGTATGAACCTCCAACACTACTGTTTTGGTGCGTTAACTAATGTTTCTCAGGATATCAATACAGTGTACTCTCGCCGCACTGGTGGTCGTTCTGGGATTGCGATCTAGCCGCCAGAGAATAGCGTGCTCTCCGGTCAATGATGCGTCGAGATCAAAGGACATTGAAATCTGCGACGTGGCGTTGAGCGGCCACGTACAAGCTATGAAGCTGCTCAAAGACTCTGCGCTGGCTAGGTCGACTGCGTGGTGCCAGGGACTACTACAGCAAGCAAAGACTTGTGTACAAGGGCTATAGCTGTAGTTGAGGAGCATTGGATCTAGATTCGCGCAGAGTATTCGATAAGTCCGGTAACAGTCGAGTACATGGCCCACATTCCTGTAGCCCTTCACGCCAGTATCCTTCGAGCCCTGCACTTTGTGATGTGCTGGCACGGACCTGGCTGTGTATACTCGGAGGCAGAGACAGAGTCCCGAGGGCCAGGAGGCAAACTTAGTAAGCCTGCAAGGTACGCCAAGTTCTCTGACTCTCATCATAGCCCGTCACTTCGGGTTTCGGGAATTGTTCGAGGCATTTGTTGTACTTGCTCATGCTGAGTGTCAGCGGCTGACTATTTGCAGGTGATATGTACCCGTCTAAAGGAGCCTTTGTAGGTTGCACGATGTTGGTCAGTCAGGCTGGGGTGTGCAAAACTCCCACATGCGTATAAAGCCCTCCTCCCTCATACCTTGACATGCCGCCCATCAGCTTCTGCGTATTCTCCCCATCTAAACCAGTTCGTTACGAAAAGCTCGCACTGCTACGGTCTCATCCAAACGTACCAGACTCAATTCAGCATGTCGACAGAACGCAATGATCCGAGCTTGGCTTACACTATCCCCTTCCAGCTCACAAAGACCATACATCGCCGTGTACCCGATGAGCTGCAACCAGAAAGGTCAGAGAACTCTCAAAGAGGGAAGATCATCCTCATCACTGGAGGAGGCTCAGGGATTGGTGCGGTATGTTCTTCCTTGGAGGCACGTACGTCTATGTACACAGGTTGATATTTCCTCTAGGCTGCCGCCAATGTTTGGGTTCGCGCTGGTGCCGAAGGTGTTGTCATTGTTGGACGTCGTAAGGAACGACTAGAAGCGACCGCCCAATCGCTTGAGAAATCGAGCAGAGGGATTACGAAGATCGTTCCAATCGCCGCTGATTGTACGATTGACGCAGACATGAGGCGCGTTCATGATGCGATCAAAGAGATTTTCGGCCGCAGCGCTGATGTGGTATTGGCAAATGCTGGAGCTGTAGGCGAAATCAAATCGTCAGCCGAGGAGAGTTCTTCAGAGTGGTGGAAGATCTATGTCAGTCGCTCTCCTGCATTTGCGCAGCATCTGCTTACAGCATTGGTGTAGGAGGTAAACGTGCTTGGATTGCACAATACCATCTCCAATTGGATCAGGTCACAGCCGGATCGAAAGGTACCTGTGGGTACAGTCATCGACGTCAACTCTGGACTTGAGGGTATCATCATGCCGGGCATGTCGGCGTACTCCACCTCCAAGCTCGCAGGACATAGATACATGGAGTATCTAGCGACCGGTACGTAATCTATGGTGTCTTGAAGCGACGAAGACTGATCACATGTATTTGCAGAGTATGATCAGCTCCGCACCTTCACCATGCTGCCTGGTATTGTAAAGACGGACCTGGCTGATCCCAAATTCTACGAATACGCACAAGATGAAGCCGAGCAGACTGGCGCTTTGGCTCTGTATTTAGCCTCACCTCGCGCCGACTACCTGAAAGGCTCTCTGACTAGTATCAATTGGGATCTGGCCGAGATGGAGGCTCGCAAGAGTGATATCGAGCAGGGAATACTGAAGCTAATATGGATGCCGGTGCTGCCGGCAAGTGGTGGAAGTGGTATTTAAGCCTATAGCGAACGTTAGTATCTAAAAAGCTAGAAGATTTAGCGATATAGAAAAGATTAGTCGATCGAAGTATCGACTGCAATATACTTGTTCTAGCTATTTCTTACTTATTGCTTAATATCTAGTATCGAAGTATTCTCTAAGTCGTATCTCTTAGATAACTTCTTTTTAAATAATCTAATAGTATCTACCTACTCTATTTGTTTATATTCTATTAGTAATACTATAGAGTTTAGATATCTATATATCTAGAGTAAATAGTTAGAATCTTATTATTACTAATAGTAGTAGTAATACTCTAGTAATAATAGCTTACTAATAAAAAAGAGTTATAAGATATAATAGTAGATATAACTAAATTAGTTATTTAAAGTAGAGGGTATAGTCTTTTTATATCTAAAAAGTAAAAGTAAGCAAAGCCTAAATTAGGAACATACTATATTTTAGTAGTAAAGCAAACTCTAGTAGATAATAATTTACTAGTAAGAGAGAGTATTAGTAATTAGAGTAGATATAGCTAACTAAGGTATACTTAGTATAGAAGTTATAGTCTTCTTAAATCTAGATAGCAAAGGGTTAGGGTTAGGGTTAGGGTTAGGG